GACGTCCCCAAGAATTCTTCATTTCACGCCCCCCAAACACGCCCTAAATCCCCTCGAATCAACAAGTTGTTCACTGAATCCAATCGTATTTTGATAGTTTTTGACTTGTCTGTACCTTTAATTAAATATAGATTCCATTTTTAAAGGCTTTTTGGCCAATTTTTGATGCATCGTCACATCCGGTGGATGTGTGCCCGTTACTTTAATGTCCTTTTAAAAACGAGCCACCACAAGGGGCCCGAATTTTAATCAAAGGTTTCTCTCGCGTTTTCTCCGGCTTCGTGGACGCGTATGGGCTAGACAGAATACACATTTTATTCTCGTCTTTCCTCTGTCTTGGCTACTACCGCGTGCTTGGAAATTCCATTAGAAAAACAGGGTGTTAGGCGGCTCTTGTCTAGTGGTGATGCGAAGTTGGTTTATTGACAATTGAAATCGATTTGTCACTAGCGAATTTGAGCTTTCAGATATATTACGTTTTCGTAAAACTTTTTGTAAAATTTAATTTCGAGGGTAGGTTCTAAGAAGTCCTACCACCTTTAAACTACCTTTCCACGTTTTTGATCTTCAAAAAACATCTAGCCTACGGGTTCCCGGGGGCCAATGGTGCTGTTTTATTCAAATGCACAGCTTTTTTCGGTGCTGTGTTTGGTGTAATCGAATGCTTCTCGAATAAATGATGTGTGGATGGGGAAGAGAGAGAGAGTGAGAAAGAGAGAGAGAGAGAGGGAGAGAGAGCGAGAGAGAACGAGCTATTGGTCTAACGGGTAGAATCTGGACTCTTCCATGCTGCTATGTTCTCCATAGCTGGTCGGTTTAGTTCTTAAAATATATATTACATCAAACTAAATTTTTTAATAGTTAAATCACTAGCTATGATGAATCAAAATTAGCCAGATAAACCAGGTTCTGCGCCATCTTAAAGTATTATTTAGCACTATTTGATGGAAGATTATAACCATATAATCTACCTCTTTTTCCTCCACACTTTTTTGTACGCAATTTCCAAAACCACCCCAACTCCCAGCGCTCTAATCAAATTCCTGTTGTGCACCGAAGCGGTCTCCCCCTCTCTTCACTGGCCGATCGAAAATGGCCCAATTTACGCGCGACATTTTTGCTGGCCTTTCCTTGTTAGCATCTACCCCTTACCGACCGAACATTTGTCATAGGATTCGACAAAAATTGAGCTAATCCCCGCCCTATTTTGTGACCCAAACGGACTTCCGTTTTGCCATAATCCCGGGCGCACAAATCGGCGGCGCGGCGGCTGGCGAAATTGCGCGGTCGGCATGGTTGTTGTACCCCATTTTTAATGAGATTACTGTTGTAATGGTTGTTTTTGTTTAGATTCATCATCATTGATTCTGTTTCCATCTTAAACATACAAACAAGACGAACCTGTAACTTTGTTCACTATGGACTATGGATTTGCTGCATTTTGACGCATGAATAGTGCGTAATCGAATAGCGAATGGCAGTTGAGCCTTTCCTGTCCCTTTAAAATGTATTTTCTTAGATTTGTTTTGTTTATTATCCATTTTCGTGCTCCGCGCAATAATGAAAGTTGTCCAACCCCCATTAAATTCCCCGAAAAGTGCAAAAGTGTTCTATTTCTAGAAAAGACGATGTTTGGATTCCAGAATAGGATGCATGCGAATGCAGGCAACCAGCTGTGGCCCCCGGGTGGTCGCTTGGTCACTTCGACCTAGCCGTTCAATGCCCAAATTCGCAATTTTGACGCGTGGTGGAACCCAGGGATTTATTAATCGATTAAACCAGGGTGATCACGTGGAAAATAGCAAAATTTGTTTTTACTTTTCGAGGTTCGAGTTTTTATTTGTTTTTATTTTTATTTTTTTGATTTGAAACATTATTTTTTTTTAGTTTATTTAAATCAGTTTATTCTAGCCAGTGCCAAAGAACGCTTGCCAAATTTCCTGAGAAGTGAAGTTTTGTTGTGCCAACCGTGACATACATTTTCACTTAACCACCCTTACGACAAGGGAAGGCCCCCCGGCCTCAAATGGAGGCAATTCCCCCCAACCAACGAAAAGCTTTGCTCTAGTAAAACGAGGGGGAGACCTGGCTTCCGGCTTTCGACACAAAAAACGGAACTCAGCAAAACCATTAACTAGGGGTGGGGGCAATTTCTCACGTCTGACCACCTGCCAACGGGCGTTTTTGTGCTTTGTGAGTTCGACATTTCGTCTAAATCACTATTTGCAGCCTGCCATTATTCTTCCTTGAACTACATGAATATCAGTTGTCACCGCCTCCTTAAAGTACCTTAAAACCCAAAAATCAAGGGTTTTTAGTCCATCCGCGTTTCTGAGATTCTTTCCGCGTTTCCATTTTTTATGGTTTTCATAGGTTACCCGATAAAATACTAGAATATAACCCAAAATCAAAAGCCTCTCTTCCGCATCCACCTCGTTTACTACCTTAATCCAATTCCCTGTGAAGTTTCTCCTGGAATCCGAGACTTTCCTCCGGCCTCTTGAGTTTCTAGGCCGTTGTGTAGGATAACAACAACCTGAACTTAAGCCTACGGCTAAGGCTTTGCCAAAAAATAAGCTTAAGGCCAAGCCAACGCCAGACTAAACTTACACCTACCTTAAGCCTACCTTGGCCGAAATTTAAGATTAAGCCTAAGCCTAATCTAAGCCGAAGCCTAAGCTAAAGCGTAAGCGTACTACAAAGCCTACGCCAAAGCCAAGCATAATCCTAAGCACAATCCAGCCTAAATTCCCCCGTTTTCCGGTGCGCCAAGTCATTTAAAACAATCCCCCCCTTACTCCTCTCCACGGAGAAACTTTTGCCAATCTACTCACCCGGAGGGCAGACTAATATCTTTTCGGGGTGGTCAGTCCAAAATCTGTTGTACCCCCTTATAAAGGCTTCATCCAAAAAAAAACGATTGCCCGTCATATTTCCCATGCAGAAAGGTGGTCATTTCGGGGTGATTGGCGGCTTTTAAGAAGGCTTCTAGGGCTGCAATCATTTTTGGTCCGTTCGAGGTTTGAAAAACCTATGATTTGATGTGGACTAAAGAATGGGGGGATATGTACAGATGGCTTGAGTACACAGTCCGGTGTAGACAATTTTTTGGGTTTTTAAAGATCTCTCTTGTGATCCTTCTTGTTTGTTTGTTTTGGCTTGTGGGTTGTGTAATTTAATAAATTTTATTTTTCCAGTTTTCTGGTTTTCCGGTAGTTTTAAATAGGATGTATCTGTCTTAAAATTTGAAACGTTCTCGAGTCAGTACTTTTATTGCTTTTTGGTTTTAGGTTTTTACGAAAAATATTTGTTATTTTTTCACCTTCAGAAATTTTTCAACGCTTCTAAATATAGCAGTTCTATCAGTTTTCTTTTTTAAGATTTTAGCGCGACAGTATTCGTCATTTTGCGTTTTTAAACCTTTTAAAACTATTAAGCTATCAACTTTTAACCTTTTCTGGCTTTAGACAATTTAAAGGCGATGTAACAATCATGAACTGCTCGATTTCTAGTAGATACTTCTAAGATTCAAATTTTTCTGCAAAACTACCACGTGCCACATGACATGCCCTACGCAATCAAAAATCCGAATTACAAATTAAATGGGAATCCGACGCTACAGTCAGCACCCCCCCCCCCCCCCCCTCAATTCCACCCAAAACCCGTCCAAACCCATCCAAAATCCCGAAATTTCCGGCGGCCACCTTTGAGAAGCTGTCAATCACGCATATTTAAATTTGAGCAATGGCCGGGATGGGGGCAATTGCGATGGGCGGGGTTGGATTTCTTTAATAGTGTGTCTGGGATTGCATAGAGCTCATCCTAGAGCTATTCTCCCCCCCCCCCCCTCCATCCCTCCATCCATCCATCTCTCCATCTACCCTCAAAAATCTCGACATCATCAATTGGGGGCGAGATTCGTACCGCTCGGTAGAATAAACCCCGGGGCTATTGCTCTAAAAATAGAGGCGTATTGATGGGGGATTAGAGACACTCGGCATTTCGTGAAATGCGTCAAAAATTCGGATTTGGTGATCTGTAACAATAGGTCAAGGAGAGGGGGCGGCTGGGTTGTTGACTTGCGGCCCATTACAGGTCAAGAACCTGAAAAGGGTTTGTTTTTGCGCCTACTCCCCGGACCAGAACATCGTAGAAATTATTGTGGATTTTAAAGATGCGAAAAAGCTCTTGGACCTTGTAAAAACACGTTTTTGCTGTCACTATCCCTTTAAAATTTAATGCCCGAAATAAACACCTTTCACCTCGAAATTCACCTTTTACCTATTTTTTTATTGTCTTTTGATGCCTTAAATAGAGAATATTTTCCAAGGCCCTTTCACCTCCCATTCTGTATAAAATCCCCTAATTGATCACGTGTTCGCGCGGTTGTGTGACTTTGACGTGTTCCCCCCGCCCGGCCCTATTTACCATAAATAGGGCGGATAAGGTGGCTTAATCATGTTCGGCATGTCATGGAAAGGGGGAAGCTTTTAGATTGCCTTATCCTATTAAAAAAATTTGAAACATAATTTTAAGGCTATGTGAGGATCGAAATTTCGTCATTGTTCGTTCAAGATCTGTCCAAAAGAAATTTACAACGCTCTAAAAACCCACAGAAGCCTGGCGGTAGCTTTGAAGCGGAATACGAAAATTAAACAAATTAGACTGCGTGAATTGTGTGGAATCGCTCGAATATTAATCCTGGAACGCGTCGGATTTCATTTTCTTTGCGCGGGAGATGAAGCGCTCGTGGGTGGAGGGGAATTCATCCGTTGCCGAATTAGGCGGTATCTCTCTCGCTCTCTCTCTCTGTCTCTCTCTCTCTCTCTCTCTCTTCCCATATTCCTCTTCCTCATCTAAAATATTCGACAAGTCTGAGGCCGTCGATGTCCTAGTCTGTCATAACACAGAAACATAAAATGTGTATATTTTTATGTTTAAGATCAGCTCTAATGCCCTGATTTTTTCTATTATCCTCCCATTAATGCTGATTTCCAGATATGAACGAAACGGGACACGCAGGGGAGCCCGACGGGCCGTCTGTATATTTATTCGTGCTCCCGATCATCGTCTCGCTGGGTCTCGGCGGGAATATCGTCTCTATCGTTACTATCTTCCACTCGAGGCTTAGACATGTGAGTTTTTACAGTAAGAGTTTGTAAAATATTGGCGCTGTTTAGATCTCAGCTAATGTCTATCTGATCGTGCTAACTATTGCGGATAGTGTCTTTTTATTTGGGGTATTGCTGATCTGTTTTAAGGTGAGTGGATTGGCGGTAATTGTCGTTTTGTAAAGGGCAAGTAAAAAAGCGCTTTTTAACGATATTAAAGCATGGTTTACCTTTAAACGGACAGTATCGCCTAAAAAACACCTCTTCTAGATCGATTTCGTCTCGTGGGAATGGTGCGTATTCGTGGAATATCTATTAATGGTCGCCTCATACGTATCTTCCTGGGCCACAGCAGCCCTCACTATTGAACGATACCTAGCCATCGCCCACCCCCTTAAACACGTCATGGTAAGCGTTTAAAGGGACCAGGAAGAGAAAATCCATAGCTTTAAATCCAAATTCACCTTCCCTTTAGTTTGGGCACGTGGATCGGTGGAAGATGTTGATCTATTGGCTGCCGATTCCGTTCGTACTCCATCTATTCCAGGTGACTTTTGGGACGCTAGAGACTTCAAAAAACGCCTTGGTGTTGTTGTCGAATGTGTAGCTTAGGTTTAGGCTTAGGCTCAAGCTAAGAATTAGGCCTAGGTTTGATTCTTCGGAATTTTGCTGAACAGAAGTTTATCAGAAAAACAGAAACAAAATTTTTCATAGTTTGTCAACCTCGTCCCTCCGCCGAATCCACTACAGGATGACGCCAGAAAATGCGTTCTTCGCGAGGCGGATTACCAGGTAAGATCATCAAGCCTAAACTACAGATTTGTCCTAAAACCCATGAATCCAAATTTTAGGTAGTAACCGAGTTCCTCGACGTGCTCCTCTGCTTCGGGATCCCGTGTGCTGTCGTCGTGATTCTGAATCTCCTTGTCATGGGAAAAGTACGTATTTTAAAGCTATCCTAAAGTCAAACTATCAGGTGAATCGTGAACGTGGCCATTTCCTTGAGCAGCAAGGAAAACAACTAGATAGCAGACGACAAGGAGGTATCTCAAATTTGAAGTACAAAAATATAAAAATTTGTAAGGCACCGGCTCGGCTGGGTTCACGCGAATCCTCTGGGTGGTCCCGATGGTTTTTGTCATTTTGAACACCCCATTCTACTGTATTCGTCTGTATGAGGCGGTGACTGTATTCTTCTTTAACACCGCCGCCGCTGAGGATAGTTATTCGGATTTTGGAAAGGTCAGTTTTACAAGATATTTTTGATCTAAATAAAATACAATGTGGGTTCTAATATTTTTATTTTTTTAGACTGTCTACAACACTGCCCACTATCTCTATTATATCAATTTTGCGTCGGACGTGGTCGTGTACGCATTTTCAAGGTAAGGGAGGTTTTAATTTTATCGGAATTAACTCTAAACTTTGAATACTTTAAAAAGTAATAGTCTAAACATTAAATTTAAACTTTCATAGAATGTTTTGGTAAGCTCCTAAGCCTATATTTTGGAATCGTACGTTTTCAAGATGATTTTGGCGTTAAATTCATCTAAATGTGCACTAAAACTTTAATTAAAAATTTAATGAATATAAAAATGGTTATATTAATTTCCGTGCCTTACAGCGCCAACTTTCGAAAAACAGTGCTTATCGCTTGGCGACGACTGATCTGCCCGGGGTACGATAAATCCAAGGCGACAAAGGTTAGTGGAACATTTTTTTAAAAACCAGCGCCTTGGCGCACTAATAGACAGTGGTTGGCCATCGTTCGAACGGTGATTAACATTACAGATACCTTTAAAAACCCTGTTTTAAATTATCGATTCGAATCTGATACTTGTGTGCGTGATAACCTCTAAGACGTGTACCTTGAGGGCGAGGTTTTCAGCTGAAAAAACGCGGGGCATGCGAGGATGAGTGCAATAACAATGTGCCCATTGTTGCCAAGGTCTCATATCCATTTAGGGAATGGCCAACGGGGCTGCCCGGAGCCGAAGGGGTACGGTAGCATAGGGCGCGCTTTATCCGTTTTATGCATTTTCTCGGTTCTGGTTTTCGCTTGCCGACCCTAATCTCTACGCCGTTTTTGTTGCTTGGGGTCGAAAAAGCTACATTTTTTAATTTTTAGCCGAGCATGCCAATGTTTATAATTTAAAAACTTTATTTATTTCGCTCTACATTGCAATATACCTGCAGAATTCTCGAAATTAAAGATTTAAAGTACCCCCTCGGCTCCACAGCCCAAAAAAACCCACTGCTTCTACCAACCTGTAGTTGTACCAATACGCGCAAAGTTGCTTCTACAGTAGCCTTTTCTTTTTTTACACCTGGAATTACAGTAGTCACCTGAGTTCCGAATTGTACAGTACACCCAAAAAACGCAATTTTCTTGAATTAAATTTGAAATAAAACTGCTCAGAAGAAGCGGGTGCTGCTGCGACTGCGTCAGCGCAAAATGCCGACAAGTAAGGGGCCAAGAACGGGCAAGAAACAGCGCGGTTTCCCACGCGCACGTGTTCTGCTTATTATTTGCTTTTGGATAGAGCTAGGAAGGCAGAAGTTTATCGAATTTTGTCAAAAATCGATGGGAAAGCTTCTGATTTTCTAGTTTTAGGGATTTAAGGACATTATAAATGTTTGGGAGGAGCGCGGGCGGCTTGGCTACATATTTTAGGAAATTTCTATTAATTATTAATAAGTTTTTCTGTTCTTTTTATCTACAAAAGTCTAAAAATTCAAGCCGCCCACAAAAATCAATTTTTATAAGCTTCGTCGCTTGCTATGCCCGGCAATTAATCCGGCGGCATGTCCCAACGCTTTGCTTCTATTTTTGTCATGTCTCAGTCCGCTTCTTGTCAAAAATGCTTTATGTTTTAAAAGGTGAGCCAGGAGGAATCTAAAAAAAATTTTCAAAAAAACTTGTTCGATTTTAAAATTCCTCCTAGCCGCCTTTTAATGCTAATTTGTGTGCCGGGCAATGTGGATTAGTCAATGTGGCCGTGTTCGTGTGCCCGCTCTGGATGACGTGTTCCCATTTACAGTACACAATCACGCTGCACGATACGGTGAGGACTCGACCATTCTCCCCGGAGCTGCACGAGGTGAGCTAGTAACGATCTTGCCTGGACTAGAGGTTCTTTGGTATCTCGGGGTGGGGGTTCTTAGTTACTCTTACCCTTATTAGCGTCATAGCACTTATTTTAATAGTCTTTCCGAAAAATTTTAGTTATATTTGAAGTGAAAAACGGTTTACAAAACTTGAAATACTTGAAATGTTGCTGGAAAATCGACATTTTTGTATTTTTCATATATTTTTTTTGAAGTATGATGTTTAAGAATCGTAAAAATAATTTTGAAAAAGTTTCTGTATTTATATTAGCAAGATTAGTTCCTAAAGAAAAATTTCGGAACCCCCCGCCCCGGAAATACCAAAGAACCAAACCAGGCATCCCATCACCACTATTCTTAAAGCTTCTACTACCCTCTGGAATGCCCCTATCGCATCTTGCAACCCTCACTTTCAACCTCCCCAAAAAATATTTCCAATTTCCTTTCCATTTCGATATTAAAAAAACCAAACTAAAGGTTCTACAATGAAGCTGGGAGAGCTCAAGGCTCGCCTCAAAATTTCCGCAGCTGTCTAAAAACTATACACTAGTTGAAGTTCAAAAATTCTTGTTGAAGACATTATTGCAGGCATCGAGCCGCAACTCGATGATCACCAACTCCATAGCACAGCGCCCTCCACGCAGGACACTCTCGCAAAGGGTATTATAGCCAGAATAATATGAAGAATTACGTTTTTAGGAAGCACGCCATCCCCATATCCAGCCCGATAGGCACTCCGATGCTGATGTACAAATATTTCGGTAATACTAAAATAATAATCCTAATTTACTATCAAATAATGTTCGTTAAGAACGTCTCCGCTGCTCAACACCGATCGTTGTTCCGTCGTCCATTACGGCGATCCCGATGAGGATGGCAAGGACACGACCGCATTCTAAATCTACTCAAAAATTATCTAATTCAATAATAACCAAAAAACGCTACTCATCCCCCCTCCAAATGCTTACCACCTCGCCGAATATAATCAATTATGGCAATCCAGCTTTCTCTCCATTTACCATCTACTGATCTCACCCAGTGTGTTCTCTATTAAGTGAGGAATCTCCGTCACATTTCCTACCAGAAACAAAGGAACTCTTTTTAAGCGGGCCCCAGTTGCCAACCCTGTACACGTGTCCTTCGCGTTGCTCAATCCTCTTACGATCATTCTCAATTATGGCCAAACTAATAAAGTGATGATCAGTCGAAAGGTCACGCCAAAAATTTGCCGAAAATCTTCGCAAATCGCACAAGTATACGTTTTCCATCATTTATTGACAGAAAATCACAGAAAATCGCCGGGTTTGAAAGTATCAATCAATATTGCCTAACGGATATCACAACCATGTTGTAAATTTCACTATCACAGGAATCACAAAAAGGGTTAGTATAAATAAATTAACAGCAACGTCGGTGATTGCACAAGGCGGTGTCGTCCGCGCATTTGGTCATTTTTAGCCCGCAAATCCAAAACTACAACGGTGCGATCCCGAGATACTTCGCGACGAATACCCTAAAATCAATGTCAACTGCCACCCATGTACCAAAATACCTGACAATAGAAGTCAGATACTGAATTGTCGGATAGTGAAGTATTCTCTCATTGTCAGAAACGGTGTGCCAGACGCGTGGAAATGGCGTAGCGATGAGATGCAAGATTGGAACACCTGTAGACAAAATTAAGGAAACCACGTCAATCGCCGACCTCGTTTTTGGAAAGGGATGTGGTCGTCTTCGATCCCTTGCGCTATCACCTGGCCATTGAACACGGTGGCGACTGATGGGACGCAGTTCATTCGCCGGAGTTCTTGTTCTACAAAAACTAGTAGGTTTTAAATTAAAACCAGTAGAGTAATCAAGAAAGGCGTGCCACGTGCAGCGTTTTTCTATCAATGCGAAAGTAGCAAATCTCGTACCAATGTTAGGTAGCTCGGCGAATAGACTCGTCGCGCCCAGACCGTGCCCATTGTTGATTCTTGGATTGGCTGCACCAAGCAAATCCAGCAGCATCATCACATCCTAAAAAAAGGCATAAATCATAGGAGCGTAACGAACTATCCGATCGATCTCTCGGCTGAGTTCAAAATTGCTGGCACTGCTGCTTGTGGGATACCTAAAGCCAAAACTTAAAACAAATTGCCTCTAATTTCACCATTTAGATTCCCATTTCGCTGCCAGATGTCGCGATCCATAGATCGAGTCCGTAGATGTCCATTGAACAAAGGCTTCTTCACCATCAAAGAAAATGAGTTGTAGACTTACGTTCTAAAAATAGGCGTTGAGAATAATCTAATGATGCATACCTGGTGCACCTGTCGGTACATATATGGGGTCAACGTTTTTGCAATGTCCAACATCATCGCACAGGGAACTGCTGAGTCTGTGGCCGCGACAAACGATTCCCTAATTTCGTCGTGAGTGTAAACAGCTTCACATACCCAGGGATAATTTTACTGTCGTAATGGCAAGCCAGGACCAGGCGTCGAGGCGCTTGTTGGTTATACGTGGTGATTAGATTTCTACAAAGAGGATTTCACGGGCATCTCAAGATACGTTACCTGAATGGCCTATTCCCATACGGCGTACTATCCGTGAACTCGTCCCATTCAGTGTGCCAGCCCATTTCGCTCATCGTTCGCGCCATGAACTAAAGAAATAAGAATATGAACTAAACCTTGGAGCTTAAGCCCAACCTCCCCAACTTGACGATGTTGTTGTGTTCCCACAATCCTTGGTACCATGATCGGTCGCAGGTAAGCATTGAAGCGATTCACATCCCAGAAATCGGCACACAAGCGCCGCGTTGAGTTCTTGGGCAACACGGAGAGCGTGTGAGATCGCTGAAACAAGAAACTAAAGTGATTCCAACTTTCAATTTCCAAATCAATTTCCAAAGGACAAGCAGGATACCAACCGGGATTCGTGCCGAAAGTTTGATGCGATAAAGGTTTTTGATAGACATACAATCTTTGGTAGTTTAGTCTTTTTCATAGATATGTATTGCGCCGCGAAGAGAACATTGTGACGGGGCGCAGTAAACAACTTTTTACCGCGAGCGGTAAACAACAAGTCAACAGGATTGCTCCCCAACAAGCTTCCAGCCGACGAAAAAAATTGTCCGCCATGTGAATAGATTCGTCGCTTCTTTTCGATATTGATAAATGTATACCTGGTTTGTCCGCCATTGTCCCCAAGCAATTGATGTCGTCAAGAAAAAGATGCCGAGAAACGGAAAAGGCCGCATTGCCGATTGGAAGAGATTCTAAATCAAATTGTTAAAAGCAAAATAAAAATATCAAGGCAACAGATATCTCTATAGATGATCGTGAATAAGGAGGTGGAAATGGCGCATCGCCACGATTATTGATCCGCGATCTTTTGTCCAAAAAGCTGCTAGAAAAAAAAACGCAGGGTTTCAGCAAGCCTTTCGAAAAAATAGCTCAGAGCCCAAACGATAGATGCTTCGCACTTAGAGATATTACCCCTAAGGCGGACAAGGGAAAGGCCTAAATAAGCACCTTCTTTTCGCTGCGAGGGAATGAGGGCAAGATTTTGCAGGCGATTGCCACCTCGCGATAGACCCCCGCAGATGTACACAAAAAAGGTACCAAATCCCAGGCCTTAGGAAATTTTGAAGCAAGACTGTCCAACAAAATCCGATCTACCTAAGCCGGTTTTCCATAGCGATATAAATTAAACATTTTCAAAAACTCAGATCTTCAAGTTCAAATAGTTTAAACTTTAAAGGTTTTCTGAGAAATTCTCCGCAGAAAACCCGTGAATATAAATTTGTCAGTGGCTGTCGAAATGGTAAACATGTGGCGAGACATAAAAGGTGAATTGTCGCCCCGAATCGATGTGAATAGGGAAATCGGAGGGGTGCGCCGGGACAAACACGGGATTCGCCCTCGAGACCGATGCGGATTACGATTTCCCCGCAATTGTTAGCATGACCACTCACCGCGAAAGCCATCGACGACGCACCGACCTTGCAATTAGAAACCCATACTACCTAAACAACCCTTTGTGCCCGAGGCGATCGAAATGCAGACAGAGACGCGGAATGGCATAATCAAAGCGGTGCACAAACGTTCATTCAATTGAGCAAATAGTTTATTTTCAAAAATCAACAGGAAAACAACGGTAAAAACAAATCTAATCTAGCGGCCTAAAGAATGGGTAGATCATCAAGAGCACATCAATACAACAAAATTTGGGGTTCAAGGTGTTATTTTTGGGAACAACCACGTTTAAGAAAAAGGCAACATAAACCGGTTTCCTGAGTGCACGTTGCACGACCAAAGTCGCGGTGAGAAAATTCGTTAAAGGTTTAGAGAACCGGGGACTTGAAAGAACGGAGCCAGATGTCAAAAGTAGGATGATCATTTAGCATACTCGTGTCGGCGGTACCCGAATAGACGACCAGAGTAGCGCTTGAGGATTCCTTCATCCTTGTTTTCCAAATTTCGACGCTTTTCTTCTTCCTGAGAATCGGAATGTAATACAGACTGGGCAAAACGGCTCGAAGGATTTTGCTTACACATCTGTGTAAACATCGATCCCAACCGGATCACATACCCTCATAAAAATATAAAGCGAAATCTTTACCTGTTCAGCTAAGGCCATAGCTCGCCTTCGGAACTCAGTGGCGGGGTTATCGAAGCTAGAATAATATTGCAATGTAGGACGAACATCTTCCACGTCGGAGAGATGGATAGCTAAAAGAGATAACGTAGGAAAAGAAGGATTAGTTACTTTTCAGCAATTCAGCCAAATCTAGAAGCGCTGTGTCATTCATGTCGCCATCCCATTTCGGTAGGCGAAGGACGTTGTCCGGGTTGAGTTGGAATGATGCCGGGTCGAAATCGATGTAGATCACTTTGGAGAGGTCGCGATTGAGCTTCGACAGATCCTAGAACATAAACGATCATGAAAATTCATAAATCTTGAATCCGTCGAAATGCCGTTCTCGCATCATTTCGACAGTTGAAGGAGGTTCAAAAAGAAAACATACCTTCACGTGCACTCCATTCATATATTTCGTGCAGTCGCGATAAAGCTTGAACATGATTCGCTGCTTCGGATCAATAGCATCAACGACGGCTGGCCCGGTGAAGTTGCTCTCACTTGTGTAGATGACAACCTAAACCAATAATTTGGCTAACAAGTGGGTCACGAACTATACCTCAAAGTTCGGATATCCAACTATGTCAAGGAAATAGTCGAGGGCTGGGCGTTTGATGAACCTATAATTGAAAATTGGAAAGCAGGAATCATCCAATCACCTATAGCCAGTTTTGTACGTCCATTCAGGCGCGACCAATACATTCTTCATCTCGATCACAAGAGTGTACTTCGGTTGGATGTAGGGGTATTGCATCGGATCAGGAAGCAGCTTCTCGCGGGCCGGTTCCACCACGTACTAAACAATTGTATAAGTCCGAAAAAGTCAAAACTCAAACGCATAAACTAACAGAGTTCTTCAAGAACCTAATAGATAGTCGAACGGACTGAAACTCACATCTTTCCACAATTTTATACTATTGACGATGCGATAGAACGGCGCCAATACACCAGCATTCGTGAATTCGTCGACAATAATGTTTCCAGCTTCGTCACGCTGACTACGCCCTACGAAGCATTGTAAAATTGTCGCCCGCACAAGCATACCATAATAGACACAGAATCCGGCAAAATAAGCAGCAGCTGTCCCGAACACGGCAAACATGCCCAACTTGGTGTTCCTGGCCATACGCTCCCGCCGTTTTCGAGCTTCTTCGTCATTTTCCTAGAAAAAAGTTTATATACATAATTGTGTAACTTGCCTCGTGGCCCTTCTTCTCGCCATCAGCCTTGCTGCCATCATCAGATGACTGTTCAAAAGTCGGCTTGCCTTCAGTCGACACGACCGTCTCCGCTTCAACGATTTTCGGATTCTAGATTGGGCGGTCAGTTGCTAGTCAATCAAATACCTCGTTCGAGAATTGCTGCGCAGTCGCAGCGCCGCCCAAAGCGCTCGCTGAAGCTGGAGCCTTCGGCGTCTCAACGGGTTTCGAAGGCTTCGGAGGCGATAGTGATTCCTAGAGACGGGGATATTCTAACAAATTTGCGAGTGATACCTGTCGATCTTCTAGTAGCCCAGTAGTCGGTTTTACAACCACATGTTTTCCTTGCACCGGTAGAGATGCGGCGGCAGTTGCGGTCTGCGGCTGCGCAACGAATGATAACTAAACCAGCCGTCAAAGTAAAATGCCAATGTATCATACCTCCCTAGCTGGCGTGTGTGCTATACCATACTTGACGGAGCGATCAGATAAATACGAGTAGTAATCCCGCATATGATCCCAGCCTCCATTTGGCTTCTCGCGTTTGCGAAATGCAGGCCCTTCACCTGCTTCTAGACGGACAAACAAGTGAATGTACCGATGGCGAACCGTGTGCCAGTTTTCACGGGCATGCCGCCGCGCTCCCTTGATGATGTTGCTTTGCACAGGGAATGCCTCCGCCACGTGCATCTCCGACGGATATTCAATATGAAACTCTTCGGCGGCTCGTTTCTTGGCTTCTTCTAGAACCTCGGCAAGGATTAGGCATCCTTTTCGCTGTTGTAACTTCAATTGTAGGATAGCGTCATCAACGTTCATCGTCCAAACAAGCTGGCAGGCTTGCCACATTCGCTTCGGCGAAAAGTGAATAGATTGTCGCGAGTGGAAAACTTCAGGGGCCTTCGGCAGCCCGGTCTCATTCACCACATAGTTCGGAGACCAAACAACCTTGTTGTAGTATTCCCATTTCTCCGGGGTCACGCCGTATTCGCGAAGTGGGTCGGGCTCGCCGTCCAATTGACTGTGACGTTTATCCAGCTCCCATTCTGGTGCGTAGAAAAGTCTTGGTGTTGGGCGCTCGTCACACTGCAAAGTCGGCTGTCGAAGGGCCGCCCTCTTTCGCCAATTCTCTCGGACGATCGGATCTTGGCGTGCAAAGTTTTGAAGTTGAGCCCGATGCGTAGTGACAGAAGGAAGCTGCGGGTGATTGTGTTGAAAGCGCGTAGAGGAGCGCAATATCGCTCCTCTGACCCGGCCGCAATTCCGCAGGAGCATTGGCTGAAAAAAATCAGAATTATAATCGACAAGTAATGGAAAGCAAGAGGATAAAAAACGCATGGAAAACGGAAAAAGCAATCGCAACCTTTGCCCATCTCAAAGAACACGCCTTGCAGCTCTCAGAATAAAAAAATTATCATAGAACGGTTGTAAAATTCTTTTTTATTTGCAAATTTGTCGTGAGCAAAGAAGACGTCTCGGGCGAGAGGCCCGTCTTTTCAGAATTTTTTGCAGTGCATAGCTCACGATTTGGCATCGTTCGAAGGCATGCCCCGTAGTCTTGTTTTAGCCCTCTTCCCCGAGGCCCCCCTTTCCCGCCGCCTTCGATGATACCTCGCCCTCATTTTTCGCTAAATTTAGTTTATTAGTCCCTATTTTATTGATCTGCCTCGATGAATCGGCTTCATTTTTGGCTGCGGTTGACTTTTTGCGATATAATAACTCCCTCCTGGCGCTGTTCTATAAACAACGTTTCTTTTTGTAACTCTTTTGCTCCCCTCTAGCTTAGGCTTATATAGATAATTTTTTAAGATTTGTAATAGGATAGCGGGCGCCTCAATTGAATATATGTTTTCCAAATTCCAGGAGGATTGGCTTGCATAGGTGGATTCTAAAGACGATTATTCTTTGCTTCTTGTTTCCCCGTGTTCTGGGGCTTTAAGCTCTAAACGGTTGCCCCGACTCGACAAATATCATTCTTAACTTTTTGAACATTTTGAAAAGCCATCAGATGACATCTGTTCCAGATAAAATCAGGGATGTTGCGGCTGTAAACGATAGCCTGGTTTTTAAATAAGCACTGCGTGGGGTTAAAATATCAGAACATGATCAGGAAAAGTTTGGGGAATTACGCTATTTAAGTTAAAAAGGGCGATTGTGGCTATAAAATCACCATCTACACTAACGTGACCCCGGCGATTTGCGTTTGCGAGGGACAAAGAACTCTAGCCGCGCAAATCAGCTTGATGGCGTTGTGTTGGCTCATTCACTTTCTTGCTGTTCAGTCTCTCTTTCTTGACTTTTTATATACCTTTCGTTTTAGGTAAACTACTATGTCGAGCTCGTCGTCGCCTTTTAACGGCATGGCGGACGTCAAAGTTGACGTAAGATTCTCTGGTTGTTCAAAAAAAACTTGTTTCAGAGTTCTGACTCGGACCAGGCTCCGAAGAAGAAGCGCGCCAAGAACTCCAGGAACACAAAGACAATCCATAGCGGTACTTATTCGTCGCAAATTAGAAATTTGCCTTTTTCAGCTTCTGATCAGTCTTCCGACGAAGAAGTTGCGCCACCACCGAAACCAGCGCCGAAGAAGGCAGCTCCTGGAAGGCCCAGGAAACGCGTGACTCGTCATGACAGTGACTCTGATGAGGAGCAGGTATGAAAATATAAGTAACCCATTAAAATCCACCGTTTAGTTTCGCAAATTCGAGGAACAGGGGATTGAATTATCCGCCCAGGAAAAGGCGGATTTTCCAAAGATGACCGAGATGCAGAAAGAGCAGCTGATATTTGACAAAGGCGAGGAGCTTGCTCGCCGCCGTACGAGGTAGAAAAGGGTCAAATTCCTCAATGCCTATTTAGGGAAGCCATAGAGCTCAAGATTCGTCTGCGTAAACCCGGAAAAGTGGTGCCACCGAAGGAAACTAGCGACGAGGATAGTGACCGCGATTCCGCAAAGCGTAGTGGTCGGCTTCTAGGCATTATTTTAATCGTTGTTTTCAGAGTCGCCGGTTCAGCACACCAGCCGCTACGAATCGGCTTCACAGGTAAGCCTTGTAAACCAGAACTCAGAGCGGTGGTCATCTGCTTTTCTCTGTAATGTTTTGCTGTTACTTTCGCATTATCAGGGGGGTGCTTTTTGTATCAGTCTAGAAATGCCTAGCAATAATTTTAATAGTATTTTTGGTAAAATTGAAAGGGATGGGGACGGCATTGGTCTATTTTTGGCAATTAGTGAACGGGGCAGAGAAAGCCGCTTTCCCCGCGTATGCGGTCGGCTTATGCCGTCCTGATGGCTCTAATTCTATTTCAAATGGAAATTACCTGAACAATTTGAATTTCAGTTGGAAAACAGAGTTTTTGGATTTTTTTTTATAAAAATTTGTCGTTTTTTAGCAGTTCGGAATAATAAAAAGCCATTTAGAATAAATTCCTCTATGCAGACAAAAATTGGATGCTAAAGAAAAAAAACTGGCATCCCCTGATACCCCCCGTCGGAAGTAACATCGTAACCTCGTGAAGTAAATTTTGAATCGATAGTGTAGTGGAGGGACCATCGCTTTGAGTGTCAATGTTTTCGATGTTCCATCCCCTCAATACTTCTTTATTTAGCGTCGCCCCGTCAGCGATAAGAAGAAGAAGGAAAAGAATGCCCTCGACGATTTGGTGAAGAAGCGCAATGCCAAGCTGAAGCGCGACGGTGCGTCTTTGACAAGTATAGGCAGCTACTATGTTATGCTGGTCAAACTACTGCAGTTTTGCAATAATAGGGAGCAAATCCGATCCAGTGGATACCCGCAGAAATTTAATCTTCGATTTAATTAAATTACTTAAATTAAAGCGATATGTTTGATGAAGCTCTGGGCGCGTATATTTAGGCTGCATTGAGGTTGGGCTGCTCAAGGCTAAGGTTTATACAATCACGCTTATGCCATCTAATTTGTTGTCTTGAAAATACTCCTATTTTCAGAAAAGCACGCTCGGGAAGAGGCAGGGAGGGATTCAGACACCAGTGTCGGATCCACGCGGACGTCTTCCTCAAGGTGGTGGACAAAGCAGAGTGACGATAAAGAGAATTGCGGTCCAAAGCCTTCTGAGAGTTCCAAGTCCAAGGCCTCACGCCGGTAATATGAACTTTATGCGAAAGGGTGGTCTAATCACCGCCGATGTGGAGAAAGTGACCTTTGAACGATATTTTGGCAATTGACTACGATATGATTTGAAGGCTACTGTCCCGACATACGCGGTCATTTTACCACCATTTCGGAACACTTTACAGCAGACAGACAGATAGACATGGCCTTCGTACGATTTGTCCATCCAACCACTTTTCAGTTCATCTTCTGAGTCATCAACGAACACTCGTGCTCGCAGTCCTACTCCAGAGGAGGAAGAGCAAGGCACTCCGGTAATAGAAACGATTTATGCTTAGTTTTTGCTTCAGATTGAAACGAAGGCTGACATCATGAAGGCTTTGCTCACCCGCTCTACCCTTGCCAAGGTACTAAGATTTTGCTGTCAATTACATTAATGATAGTTTGTTCACGCTCCGTTCTTCAAAAACACGGTGAAGGATTGCTTTGTCCGTGTGAACGCTGGTTTGCCACCGAACGCCTACGGTCGTCCTTATAAGGTATGGCTGTCGATTGTTCCAAAAAAAATTTCTTAGATTGGCCTTGTTTTGGACGTTTTGGAGACAGCCAAGACGTATGAATTTGAAGGACAGCGCACAAACAAGGGTTTGAAACTGCAGTTGGGACCCAGAGTACTGGACCTAGTGTTTTCCTTGGCAATTCCGCTTTAGTACGAACGAATTGTGCGACTGGAGTTCATCTCTAATCAGCCTATCACCGACACTGATTTCCAAGAATGGTTCGTCGCGATGAAGAATTCGGTACGAATTTGGACGCTAACTGTCTTTGGATTATTAAACAATAGTTTTAATTATAATGGTGTTGAACGATACAAAGACGACCAATGTTAATCGGTTGCACAAGGGCAAAGCCGGGTCTCGGCTCCTCTTTCCTGACTATTTGCTAAAAAATGCTAATCCGCCTTTGAAGCGAGGGGGGGTTAGATCTATGCTGTCCTTACATTTTTCATAAACAAAGATTTGGAAAATAGAAAATTTAAATGACTATTCTGTTTTAGAATCTCGGTCTACCGAACATGGAACAAGTAGAGAGGAAAAGCGTCGAGGTCAAAGACGCTTTGTGCCATATATTCACCGATACTGAGGTGGAACAGGTATACTGCGGATGATTGCCTTAGGATCATGATTTTCAGATGATCAAGGAGCGTCGTCGTTTCGAACAGAAGACTGGCAACTTTGCCACAAAAAAACGTTTGCTGATGAACGAAAAGGTGAGGGGGAACTATTTGTTTATTGACCTGTGTTCAAAACAAAGTTATCACATTGAATATAGCTAAGTGGTTAGTTGACATTGGGGTATTTTCTTCCAGAATTGAGTTAGGCGTTTGCTGGCCCGGTTTGCACGGTTCTTCCCGAGGGTTCATTTTCCCCACGCCATGCCTTGGCTTTCATGAAGGTTTCGATGGCAAAGAAAATGGTCAGGGCCACACATAGGATCTAGGGTTTTTTTCCTCAATTGTTCGGAATTTCATACCGCCGTCATGACCGCTGCTCCCCGTCCATCCGTACCCCAAGCAGCGGATAGGTGAATCATGAGCCAGATTGAGATGAAGTAGAAAAGCGTGTTCAGCGCATAGAAGATCAGCTCCTATAAATTGCCATGTTTATATTGACGCGCGCGGTTTATGCCCTCGTTTGACTTCACGCAGTGTTTTACGAGCCCTGGATCCTCATATTAGTATTTTGTTTTTGGAAGGGGCTAGCCGGAAATTTCGCTAAAAAACCCGTTCTTTTTCCAAAAAAAACGGCTAATGGGAAAACCTTATCAAATGACTGTCTTAGCATGGACTTACGACCACGATCAATCCCTCTCTTGTCAATTCGTCACGTAGCGTAATATGCGGGAAGCAGACGTATCCCAGCAGCAAAACGGCTACCCCGATCATGCACTCGAAGGAGATATGCTCGGTCCATGCGGCTGTAGTAGTCCTACGGTCTGAGCAAATCGACAGCACGAACGCCATAAACGACAAAGCCTAGATTACTGTAATGCGCATTGATAAGGCACCCACGATCTCAGCGATTTTCATCACGCCTCCCAAGGTCCCGATATAACCAGTATTGAGCTGGCCCTGGCGATTGTTTGGGATTATTTGAATCTTGGAGGCCATATTGAATTCTAGCTTCTTCTTCGTGGGTTTGGGGCTAAATTTAAGTATTTTTTTAATATAATATGTTTCGCCCTACCTAGATGGCTGGGGTTCATTTCGGTCGAGCTCGACCTCGCCGCTTCGTCGCACTTCTTCGTCAGGGCTCAGCATCTAGATAATTGTTTTAAGTGAGTGTAAGAGAAATGTGGGAGGTTGAGGGGGTAAATGGGCAAGGGCGTATTGTTTTGCAACTGAAGGAGGGAATTCAGCTTTTCTACAAACAGTAGCTGGCTATTTATTTGGTTCTCGGTAGTAATCTAGAACATGGGCCTCGTTGACATTGCTTTTCTGTTCATGGGGTTAGCCAAAAATTCAGGGGTGCTTTATGAATGATATGAGAATTAGGAAGGGGGACTGGGTAGGATATGGGCATCTTGGGGATGAATGAAAGGGGATGTCCGGTTACCGTCCTTGACTGCAATCAAGGCTAGTCGATCTCTCGTCTTTTCTGAACGATTGCGGCGCAGCGAAATGACTGGTGATAAACTTGTTGAAACAATCGTTTCCTAGTTTTCGGCCGAAAAATCGATTGTCATGCTACTGGGATGGGGCTTTAGCTTGACTTTGCGTTAAAAAATTAAAAATATCTGATTACAAGGAGAAACAAAATTAGGCGTAAAATTTCAATGAGTAGGTAGTCTTTTTTATGCTTTTTCGGTAAATAGCTTGAAATGAAAAACGGCTTGTCCAAGGACACTTATATTTATCTCATTGTCTTTCGACAAAAAAATTTGACCTATTTTTACGGTAGCTAGCCAAAAAAGCGTTTGTCGATAGGAGTTTGATTGGGATATCTCTCCCACCCAATCTTGCGCGGATTATTTCTAGACCAGTGATGGGATTAGTGGTACGCTACGAGCTGTGGATTAGTAGGGAAGTAATTCGGAGGAACAAACAGTCGATCTCATGCTTAAAAAAAGAGCTGAATAGGTCGAGCCTCTATTGCCTATGATCGGGAGAGACTGGGGGGGGGGCAGATCTGACATTTCGATGTGTATGCCAGATTGTTGTCCGTGACTGGTAGGCCTGTGGTGGTGGTGGGGGGAGTCAGGTTTCCGCCCCTCTGCTTCCCCCCTTCGCATTCCGCCGGTAATTGGCGGGGTGAGCATATTGAAATCCACTCAGTGCCCTCAAATTTACAAGTTGATGTGAATGCTGGTGGTTTGGTAGTTTAGCAACTAGCAATATGTTGTGGGATTTTGATTTATGGGGATACTCAAAACACTGTCCGACATTTTCCGCCCGAAAGATTGAGATTCAATTAACAACCAAAAATTAACGCTATTATTAATATTGAAGATCCTCGAACTACAATTTTTGGGCCGCAATGCTAGAGGTTTCACTCAAAAAAAAAACACGTAAAAACCACAGCAGGCGTACACCCACCCATGAATGACGATTTGTATTGACCGTCAGATGGAATCGCACTAATTTGGGGGCTGACTCTTGCTGCATACTGCAATAGACAAGGGCTACAGGGTGATATTAGCAATGAACTTACTCATTCCATCCCTTTTCTTGTTTGAATATGATAGGGTTTTGTTAGTTAGTGCTGAGTGTTGTCGGAATAGAGTACTGAGTGGGCCCTTTCGCAGGCAATGGGACCTAGCGGAACAGAAAAAGGGGTGCCAGGGGCCAGTTGTCGCAGTGGGTGTGCACCCAGAAAAAGTAACTCACCAGCCTGGTTTCCAATGTGCCATCGTCTCGTTGAACGGTCACTACCTCGTGCTGCATCTGTAAAGGAGGGTATTTTAATTGTAATATCCCAGTAAAGTAAAGGAAAATATTGAGTAAACGGTTAGTTCGGGAATGTGGTAATCCTTTTTCTTATAGCTTTGGCTTCAGCTTGGCGATAGGTGAAAATGTTTTGAAAAAACGGGGATCGAAGAACCACTTGGTGTGCAAGCGGAATGTTGAAGCCGTGGAAAGGACCCAAGCATGGCCCTCTCATCTGGGTGGGCCACTCAGTAAACATCGAAGTCGTCCTAACGGCCTGCCGAACAGTGCCCCCGAGTGCGGCCCAAGGGACCCATCCCAATCGTTGCTGTGGCAGCAGGGCAGCCAAACAGTACCAAATTTGCCAATGACCTGTCGAATTCATCCCGGTGTGCCAATGGGCCCGCTGATAAACAGCAATTTCTCACAGTCGTTCATTTCTCCCCCGCCGCCTTTTGCCGCGCCCCTCAGCGCCCGATTTCGATTTCGACGCCAAGGCTGCCGCTCGTTTTTTGGCTAGGATAGAAAGTTGATTTGTGGAGTGGGAAATATTGAAGCGATACCAACCGGATATGGGGTCTAAAAAATAAATAACTGACGTGCTAGCGCTATTTAACTAAGGGAGTGTTGTGGGGGGAGGTTCGTTTTCTGAAACCACAGAGGCTGGTAATGAGGGTTTGGGAAAGAGCGAGAGGCCAAAGCCCGCTCTCTATTTCCGAGGGGCGCCGGGGGGATCAGAGAATGGCGTCCCTAACTCAAAATAACAAGATAAGATGTGAATTAATCTTGGCATTTTCAGGAAACGCTCACTGAAGAAGGCAACCTCGAAAAGGCCGCCCAAATTCAACTGGAACTCCAGCGCCTAGAATCGGTGGCTGATGAGCTGGTAAGCGGGTTTTTGGTACCTAGATTATCCAACATGACAGGATATTCGAAAAGAATTTTCACGCTGATTTGCCTTTTTTTAGGACCGCAAACGCCAAGGCTCGACGATGGGTATCACTTGGATTAACAAGCGCAATCGCAACTTGATGAAGGAAGCCTTCCTTGGTGACAAAACGGTAACCTTTTTGCGAACTTCTGAAGAATCTGGAACTGTCAATTTCGTTCTTGACGGAACATTTTTGTTTGTAGGTCATCGATTTGACCCGTGGCGACGATCCATTCACTCGTAAAAGCACTCGGATGAAGGTAGTCTGTGGTAAAGGCGGATCAAGCAGCCAAAATTGTAGGTTTTCGTGTTTTTTTCGTAGAAATCTATTTAGCAGCGGAATCGCAAAACACTACCGAGGTGATCGATTCGGTGCAACAACGTCTCGAGGAACTTGCTTCTGCTGAACCGTTGAAGCAGACTGGCGACGGACCTTATTCCGTGAGTGTGATTTCTTTGTGCAATAACCGTGCTTTCAGGGGGTCACCTGGGCCGAGTTCCACGCCAAGCTGAAGATGGAAGTCGATCTAAATATGCCAATACGCCAAAAGGCTAAGGCTGCTGAACCGGAAGAGCCGGAACGTGTCAAGGGACGTGCGATGTCGCTCGAGGAATACAAGCGGCTGCGACAAGCCAAGCCGTCTAACTCCTAGGCGTCTTTGCGGCGGAAGCGACAAAGCGGATGTAAAAAAACAAGTTCTTCTTTCAAACAAAATTACCATACAAAAATCCGTCTTTGAAACTCGAGCCCACTCTATGTGGTGCTTATGAATCGTTCATTCGGCCTTGCTAGTTCTTCAAGTTGTGATCTTCCAGTTTCTCATTTTGAACGAAGTTGTGTTACCACATGTGCCCCCACATCGGTGCCACGATTTCTTCACATTTTCGTCTACTCGTTGTTTTGAATCTCCTTCCAGTAAGTTGGAGTGTTCGTTATTCGTCCCCCCTCGCCCCTGGTCTTGCGTTTTTCGATTTTTGCATGTTGCATAGTTTTCCCAGTCGGTGGTTATGCATTATCTGTCCGGAAAGAATCGCTCATGTAGTTCTTTTTAAGTAAGTAGTAGTTTTTAAGTTCTTTTTTGCAAAATCTCGTCTTAAAGGGTTCTTTTGGCAGGGGGACAGTTCACGAAATCATGAATGGGGCTCTGCCAACAGCACCGGTTTTCCATGACTCATGAAAAATTTGCATGCGTTTTCGGTTCTAGAGCACATCCGAGAATAAAGGCAAATTTTTACGCGATTCAGGGAGCAACGGCGCTGCTGGCAGGGCCCCGTTGAGATAGTGCAGGAGAAATTCATAGAGGATAAATTCGGAGCATTCTCAGTTCCAAAGATAATGCATTCGTGCCGTGCCCTTTAGCCATTAAGTCCCTTCTAAACCTGCATACCATTTGGTATTTCCCCGTTGTTAGCCCATTGTTCTCTTTTTATTCGGCTGTCCATCAAAATTTTTTTTGAATTCGCTGGGTACCTTTTGTCCGTTTTTTAACGAATAAAGTATTTTAGCCGTCTTTCTTGTGGATGGATCAAGAATTGAATAATTTGAACTTTTATTTGTACCCCTGAATGATCGTTCAGAGTAGACCTCCCGTTTTCAGCTTTATTGCATTAAGAGCCTTGAAGCTTTCTTGCTTTCATCAGCACCTTCTTCTTTTCTACTGGCCTTTTCATTTTCTTTCTGTTCAGCCTTCCTTTCTTCACTTTTATATACCTTTCGTTTTAGGTAAACTTCTATGTCGAGCTCGTCGTCGCCTTTTAACGGCATGGCGGACGTCAAAGTTGACGTAAGATTCTCTGGTTGTTCAAAAACAACTTGTTACAGAGTTCTGACTCGGACCAGGATCCGAAGAAGAAGCGCGGCAAGAACTCCAGGAACACAAAGGCAATCCATAGCGGTACTTATTCGTCAAAAATTGGAGATTTGCCTTTTTCAGCTTCTGATCAGTCTTCCGACGAAGAAGTTGCGCCACCACCGAAGAAGGCAGCTCGTGGAAGACCGAGGAAAAGCGTGACTCGTCATGACAGTGACTCTGATGAGAAACAGGTAAGAAGATACAACTAACCCATTACATCTTTATTTAGCGTCGCCCGTTCAGCGATAAGATGGAAACGGATGCCCTCAGCGATTTGTTGAAGAGGCGCAATGCCAAGCTGAAGCGCGACGGTGCGTCTTGCGAGTATAGGCAGCTAATATGTTATGCTGGTCAAACTACTGCAGTATTGCAATAATAAGGAGCAAATCCCATCCAGTGGATACCCGCAAAAATTTACTTAAATTCGTCACAAATTAGAAATTTGCCTTTTTCAGCTTCTGATCAGTCTTCCGACGGAGAAGTTGCGATTGACTCCGACAAAACCCTTTCCTCGGCATCTTTCGAGGACATCTTCGAGAGTTTTGAACAGGAGAATGTATGAAGATACAATTAACCCATTAAAATCCACCGTTTAGTTTCGCAAATTCGAAGAACAGGGGATTGAATTATCCGCCCAAGAAAAGGCGGATTTCCCCAAGATGACCAAGATGCAGAAAGAGCAGCTGATATTTGACAAAGGCGAGGAGCTTGCTCGCCGCCGTACGAGGTAGAAAATGGTCAAATTCCTCAATGCCTATTTAGGGAAGCCATAGAGCTCAAGAATGGTCTGGGTAAACCCGGGAAAGTGGTGCCACCGAAGGAAACTAGCGACGAGGATAGTGACCGCGATTCCGCAAAGCGTAGTGGTCGGCTTCTAGGCTTTATTTTAATCGTTGTTTTCAGAGTCGCCGGTTCAGCACACCAGCCGCTACGAATCGGCTTCACAGGTAAGCCTTGTAAACCAGGACTCAGAGCGATGGTCATCTGCTTTTCTCTGTAATGTTTTGCTGTTACTTCCGCTTTATCGGGCATGGGGTATCAAGAGGAAAATAATTCTTTTGTATAAGTCGTGCCATGCCAAGTAACGTGTCGTTACGTGCTTTTAACAAAATTTAGCGCATTTCAAGTGGAAAGCTATTGAAAATTTAGATTAGCACTCGAAAAATTATTGTTTTGTATCTAAAATATTCAAATCTTAATCGGTATCTATATTCAATAAAAATTATTTCGTATTTATTTTATGTTTTGCTTTATTATATGTCTTAATAGATACTCCCCCCCCCGCCCCCGATAATGCGAAATGGACGTCCGGTCCCATAGGAAATACTATTAACCTTGATCCAGCGGAAATTGGAGAGACCATCGCTTTGAGTGTCTTCGATGTTACGGTACCTCTCACTATGTCTCCTTTTAGCGTTCTCAGACTTTGTCATGGACACCATCTGAGTTAGCTGCAGAACGGGACTTTTTCCCGGATACCCACGGGAAGGAGTCCAGGTCCAGGGCCTCACGCCGGTAATATGAACTTTATACGAAATGGTGGTCTAATCACCGCCGATGTGGAGAAAGTGACCTTTGGATGATATTTTGGCAATTGACTACGATATGATTTGAAGGCTATTTCTCCGGCATACGCGGTCATTTTACCACCATTTCGGAACACTTTACAGCAGACAGACAGATAGACATGGCCTTCGTACGATTTGTCCATCCAACCACTTTTCAGTTCATCTTCTGAGTCATCAACAAACACTCGTGCTTGCAGTCCTACTCCAGAGGAGGAAGAGCAAGGCACTCCGGTAATAGAAACGATTTATGCTTAGTTTTTGCTTCAGATTGAAACGAAGGCTGACATCATGAAGGCTTTGCTCACCCGCTCTACCCTTGCCAAGGTACTAAGATTTTGCTGTCAATTACATTAATGATAGTTTGTTCACGCTCCGTTCTTCAAAAACACGGTGAAGGATTGCTTTGTCCGTGTGAACGCTGGTTTGCCACCGAACGCCTACGGTCGTCCTTATAAGGTATGGCTGTCGATTGTTCCAAAAAAAATTTCTTAGATTGGCCTTGTTTTGGACGTTTTGGAGACAGCCAAGACGTATGAATTTGAAGAACAGCGCACAAACAAGGGTTTGAAACTGCAGTTGGGACCCAGTGTACTGGACCTAGTGTTTTCCTTGGCAATTCCGCTTTAGTACGAACAAATTGTGCGACTGGAGTCCATCTCTAATCAGCATATCACCGACACTGAGTTCCAAGAATGGTTCTTCCCGATGAAGAATTCGGTACGAAACTTGTGGGGGCGTTTCGATTCTGGGATTATTAAGAAAATCCGTACTTCCAGGCTTCCTATATCATCTCGGTCAGGGTCCAATAATAAAATGTTTACCTTTTATAGACTTGTACACCGTTTGTAAATCGTGTTGAATTGTTAGCCGGCGTGGAAAATTGATCAAAATACCTAAAAATATGTAAATATTTGCGTTTTTTTTTCTAAACTGTATGAAAAACGGTTGGAAATGCGCGAAAAGCTAAAATTTTATGACAGTAGTTTAGATGTTGTTATAATTTTTAGTTATCGGAAACTACTAATAAAATACATTTGTCAATAGGCAAGTATAGGTTAAACTAAGACGAGTTGGCTACCGCTAACCTGGAAGCACCAGAAAAACTTTAATTATGATGGGGTCTAAAGAGATAAGGGCGGGCGACGCAGGGAAAGACTGACCGGCTGACTATTTGCCAAAAGGGCGAATGCCTCTCCGAGGGGGAGGGCCTTGGCTGTCCTTTTTTCTTAAACAAAGATTTGGAAAATAGAAAATTTAAATGACTAGTTTGTTTTAGAAGCCGGGTCTACCGAACATGGAACAAGTACAGAGGAAAAGCATTGAGATCAAGGACGCCTTGCACCACATATTCACCGATACTGAGGTGGAACAGGTATACTGCGGATGATTGCCTTAGTATCATGATTTTCAGATGAACAAGGAGCGTCTTCGTTTCGAGCAGAAGACTGGCAAATTCGCCACCGAAAAACGTTGGCTGATGAACCAAAAGGTGAGGGGGTACTATTTGTTTATTGACCTGTGTTCAAAACAAATTTATTGCATTCAATATAGCTAACATTAAGAGCTGAGTTGAAATTGGGGTATTTTCTTCCATAATTGAGTTAGGCGTTTCACGGTTGCAAAACAAGATAAGATGTGAATTAATCTTGACATTTTCAGGAAACGCTAACTGAAGAAGGCAACCTCGAAAAGGCCGCCCAAATCCAACTGGAACTCCAACGCCTAGAATCGGTGGCTGATGAGCTGGTAAGCGGGTTTTTGGTACCTAGATTATCCAACATGACAGGATATTCGAAAAGAATTTTCACGCTGATTTGCCTTTTTTAGGACCGCAAACGCCAAGGCTCGACGATGGGAATAACGTGGATCAACAAGCGCAATCGCAACTTGATGAAGGAAGCCTGCCTTGGTGACCAAACGGTAACCTTTTTGCGAACTTCTGAAGAATCTGGAACCGTCAATTTCGATTTTTGACGAAACATTTTTGTTTTTAGGCTCTGGATCTACATCTGGGCAGCGCCCCGATCGCTCGCGATGCTAAAATAAAGCACGTCTGTGGTAAAGGCGGATCAAGCAGCCAGAAGTGTACGTTTTCGTATTTTATTCAAAGAAATCTATTTAGCAGCGGAATCGCAAAACACTACCGAGCTGATCGATTCGGTGCAACAATTTCTCGAGGAACTTGCTTCTGCTGAACCGTTGAAGCAGACTGGTGATGGACCTGATTCCGTGAGGGTGATTTTTTTTGTGCAATGACCGTGCTTTCAGGGGGTCACCCGCACCGAACTCGACGTCATGCGCAAGATGGAAGGCGATCTAAATATGCCAATAGGCCAAAAGGCTAAGGCTGCTGAACCGGAAGAGCCGGAACGTGTCAAGGGACGTGCGATGTCGTTCGAGGAATACAAGGCAAAAACTAGGTCGACCCAAACCGACCTGAAACTTATGTGCATGTGTTGTGGAAAATCGTTCAATCGGCCTTTCTAGTTCTTCAATTTGTGATCTTCCCACATCGGTGCCACGATTTCTTCACATTTTCGTCTACCCGTTGTTTTGAATCTCCTTCCAATAAGTTGGAGTGTTCGTTATTCGTCCCCCCTCGCCCCTGGTTTTGCGTTTTTCGATTTATGCATATTGCATAGTTTTCCCAGTCGGTGGCTATGCATTATCTGTCAGGAAAGAAATCGCTCATGTAGTGGGTTCTTTTTTGCAAAATCTCGTCTTAAAGGGTTCTTTTGGCAAGGGGACAGTTCACGAAATCATGAATGGGGCTCTGTCAACAGCGCTGGTTTTTCATGACTCATGAAAAATTCGCATGCGTTTTCGGTTCGAGAGCACATCCGAGAATAAATGCAAATTTTTACGCGATTCAGGGAGCAACGGCGCTGCTGGCAGGGCCCCGTTGAGATAGTGCATGAGAAATTGATAGAGCTTAAATTCGGAGCATTCTAAGTTCCAAAGATAATGCATTCGTGCCGTACCCTGAGCCATTTAGTCCCTTCTACGCCTGCATACCGTTTGGTAACATGTAATTTGCCCCCGAATATTTCCCCGTTGTTAGCCCATTGTTCTCTTTTTATTCGGCTATTATTCCGCTTCGGCCATCAAAATTTTTTTGAATTCGCTGGGTACTGTTTGTCCGTTTTTCCACGAATAAAGTATTTTAGCCGTCTTTCTTGTGGATGGATCAAGAATTGAATAATTTGAACTTTTATTTGTACCCGTGAATGATGGTTCAGAGAATCTAATCTGGTCTATGAATGATTAGTGTCACTTGTAAAAACCGAATGACAGCTGCGTGATTGGTGATATATTCTCGGTCGGGAAAATGTAACTTTACGGTATGGTCCCAAACTGTCAATTTTTCGACTGGAATCGGTGCAGCTCGATGAGTTTGTGCGTTTCCAGTTGAAAAAACGATTGGGAAACATTTCTGGACAAAGTTATAGGCTTTTGAAAATCGCAAGTTCACTTTACGGTATGTGAACAAAACCTCAATTTTTGAACAGGAAACGATAAAGCTCGATGAGATAAAGCGTTTTCAGTTGAAAAAACAATTGGGTAATTTAAATAAGAAAGTTATGACGTTTCAACGATATTTTTGCTAAGGACTGTAGGCTACGCAACACTCCTGTCCCCGCATTCTAAAGCGTGCGCTCTCTGCCAGCGCTTACGTACTTATCTAAAAGCATTTATAATTTTTAAAACTAGTATTTTAAGCATAGAATAGATAAATAACAGTTAGTTGTGGCCTCCAAAATTGTCAGGCAAGGCGGGCCGTCGCTTCGGATGGGCTGCCGCTCCACTCTTCCGAAATCGGGGCGCCTGGGCGCTGCGCGCTCCTCGGGCGCCCCGATTTCGAAACCCTGTACGAGCTCGCACCCATCCGAAGCGACTAGGCCCCGGGTGGCACGGAGCCTTTTTTTTAGGCTAAAATTGGGTATTGAGCTAGCAAGCCCCTTCAAAAAGGCCAATATTTTGGTCAATTTTCATAGTAATTTTCAAAAGCTAAACTTTGTCCAGAAGCGTTTCCCAATCGTTTTTTCAACTGAAAACGCACGAACTCGTCGGGATACATCGATTCCAGACGAAAAAATGACATTTTGAAAACATACCGTAAAGTGAGATTTAGTCTCTCGGTCAATATCGGTGATCGCAGGCGGCGCCAACCAATTCATATTCCAGACGACGCTTCTGACCTTATTGAAAATCAACCATTTTTCGCTGGGACGGAAGACAGTAGGCCGGAATTTGGTAGCAGAAAACAATTGCAGGCCACAGGTAGCTAAATTTACTGAACTGTTAATGTTTTCTGAAATTACTAAATCATTATTTTGCCTAGAAGCGGTGCGCGTCTTTTCGCTCTCTGAACCAACCTGTATATTTACTATTTTCCAAACCTCGCATACATCGTCTCCCACATTTTGCAATATTTTGAACGCTAGGCGTTGTGGCCGACATTTACCATGGGCTGAAATGGTGGCTCACAAATTGGGGCCCTTTTGTAGCACCTGTATTAGTCCACCGATCGTAGATACATTCGGAATCGGCTCCTTCACAACGTACGGCATTTAGATAACGGGGAAAGCAACCGGAGCCCAGGTTGAATATTCCATGACACCTATAGGACTATTTTTGATGAATTTTTCGGGATTGATCTTTGTCCTTTCGACTGGTCCCATCCCCTACCGTGCGCATAAAATCTCTTCATCATCGTAGGGTTGGCTCATGGTACAGTTGTTAGTTGAGATGAAGTCATCTAATTACATTCCTCGTCTTTGTTTTGACCAACCTAGTGAACAGGGAGCTCGCCCCTCCTGGACCTCGACTTCGGGTAATTTTGGTGCATCTTCCAAGCCCTAGAAAGGTCTTTTTGAAATTCGCCGCCCTCGGGCTTTTCTTTTCTCGACTCACCTTCATCTCAGCATCTAAGAGCGCTTTACGTATGCTTCGGCATCGGTAATCGCAGTCGGTCGCTTCTTCTTGAAGCTCGATTTGGATTGAACCATCATTTTGTTGAAGCAAATAGCTGCCGGCGTCCGGATCCAATTCCCCAAACTGTGAGGCGGCCTCATCAATACTAGAAACGCGCGTGTAACATAAGATGTTCCTCAATACAGCCTACCTATTTGCCAGAAATAACTCATTCCTGCCGCCAAGCAACTTGTATTTTTCGATTTCCGTATATTTTTTGCAGATTTTCCCCGGCCTAAGCACTATTGACGAAAAATGGGGGAACTGACCAAATGCGTTTACCGGTTTTGCTTTTGTTGAAGGAGGCAGGGATTAATTTAGTGGTTGATCGATTTTCTTCATCGATGACGTCTATAGGGGATGGTTTTGGTGTCGTTTCTTTCTAAAACTGCCGCGTTAGATTTTTGGGATTGGGGCGGGCTTTTTATAGGGGCTTTAGTTTGTTTTTTGAAGCAATTATAATTTTCGCTCCATTTTCGGCGCAGGAAAGCGCTGGGTTGCCTGATTGGTAAGGGGGCGTTTTGTTGGGACAATAGCTACCGAGCCCCCCGTCCTGGGTCTTTTCACACGCGTGCCGTCCAGACGTACCGGCCAACGCGGGCCCAAACAAAACCCTCGACCACCTCCACGGCCACACGGCGGGTGGACAGAAGAGACAAACGATGACTGACTGACTGACTGACGGTGCGCGTGCCTTTGGATAGGACGTAAGGGCACTGCTCTCGCCCACCAACCGGTCATCTGGGCGGATGACCATCTGCCACGCACACGCACGGCACTTACTTGCCGATCTATCGTTGCCCATCGATTATATAGTGAAATTGAGCGGTGATAGTTGGGTTGAAAGCTATTTAATTTGCATAAAAATAGGGAAATATCAGGTTAGAACACAAGGCCATCGATAAGCTAGGTGAATCGAGGAATAAAAATGGGTTTTATAATGATTTGATAGGCCGTAGGGCAGGAAAATTCTAGGGATTGCGCGATAGATTGAGGAAATACAAAATCAAGCGGCCCTTTTACCCTCAAAATGAGAAGTTATCCGGTGGAATTTTTAGTGAGCTTTTTTGCCAACCTTTTTCGGACGCTTACCAACAAGTAAAAGTTCAGTTTTAGAATGGTTCGCAAGATTTTTAGCAGAAAAATTCTAGGGATTGCGCGATAGAATAAGGAAACACGTAATCAAGCGGATCTTTTACCTCCCGAAATGAAAAGTTACCCATTAGAATTTTTAATGGGGTTTTTGATACAAACCTTTTTCGGACTTTCCACCGATAACAACAAAAACATATCTTCGGCCGAGTCGTTTAACCTCTCTTTCAAGTACATCCCTAAACACAGCGCCGATTTTAGGCGTATCAAAAACCGGCGCACTTTTTGCAGCACTGCCCACTCCGCTAACCAACAGCAAATAGAGACCGTAGACCAGCAGATGGTCAGCTGAGGGCGTCATTTTGGGGCGAGAATTTCGTGGCTGTAAAAAGATTGTTGCTTGCTGCGTGAGAATTATAGTAGTTAGAGAAAAGGGATCGGAGGTTTAGAGAATATTTTTGTAAGCATAAATTTTAGTTAGGTTGTACCAGTTCATGATCTGGTGAAAACGGCGGGGCTTTTGGGAATAGGTAAGGGTATGCCGGGGATATGGGCAAAGTGAAATCGTTTCGAAACGAGCGGCGAAATTCCTTAAAATGACGGCATGACGGCGTGGGGGGTCGGTGGCTGGGTGGACTGGCTGCCGTCCGGGCTTCGTGGGAAGAGAGAGGGCGGGCAGATAGGTCTCTTCTACCGGGGCACCCGCTTTTTGGCAAGGGGACATGTGAAGTGCAGTTTTGGAAGTTGGGAATGCAGTCGCCGCTTGCTTGACTATACTTTGTCACCCGGTAGTTTTTTGAGCGATTTATTCAACAAGCCCTCAGTCACATTATTCATATCCAATCCCGTGGAACATCCTATCAGCCATAGGTGTGGCCAGCTTCTTGCATACATATCGCGCATAGTGGGCCCTGAACACCCACCAGAACCAGCTCTTGGGCCGGGTCGGGAAGCAGGTTGGGTCATTGTGAACCTGGGAATTTTGCAAATCTGCGGAAAAAGCTAGGCTCCTACCAGGAAGCCGACATTGTACATTTCCGCAATAATACACCCATTAGGATAGTCACAATAATCAACAGGCGATCCGTCAACCCAATGGGTGCTGTTAGGGTTTGGTTGATGGTACATACCTAGGATTTTGTTTTAAGTTTAGCCTCTCTTTTCCGTACCAATCCATGCCGGTGCCCAGTCGCAGGGATGTCCATAAGCCTTATCTTCTTCTGTAGCAGCCCGGGAAACGACCATGTCTAGAAAGTTGCATTTCAGCCCTAATATTGGCTCAATTACCGTAGATAAAGTCATTTTCGGCCTGGCTATGAATCGACGCTAGCGTCGCGTTCATTCCTTCACAGAGCGCCTTTGCGTCAGTAAAGTTGAATAAGTCCCAATGCTGACCGTCGTTGATCGTGGTGAAATTCTAGGTTTCTCATCTGCGTTTCCACCCTCTAGCTTACATGCATATAGTAGCAATAACCGCCAAATGATTTCCATCCCTGATCACAAGTTCCTAAAGGCCCATTTTTAACCGTTTTTCAATATAACCTGGTGGCAGTGTGACTGGGTTCGGGGTCGTCGAGCCATCATCAGGGGTAGCATCTGACTTACGCATTAACGCCGCTAGTAAATAACAATACCCGTCGAACAGAAGTACGGCAGACTGTCCTGGCAGTTGTGTGCCTTCCACACGCCTCCATTCTGGACGTCAATGGTGGCGCAGTAGAGGTCGTTGTTAGGTTCCCCTAAATTTCCTGGTCCGCCCGCTTGAAAACCGTACCTGAGCCCCACTTCACGTACGTCAGATTGGATTGCATCTCATCGGCGTAGACCCAATAGCGTAGGTCAAACAGCTGTTCGACACCGATGTAGGCCTGGGTGAGATTGGCTAAAATCGGGCGTTGTCCAGAATTTACTTTCTTCCTGGCTACCATTTTGCGCTTGCTGTAGCACAAGGTTGTTGATGAAGGTATCAGTGATCTTCACTGGAATCCCGCCAACCGTGTGACAAGCAACTTTCACTTGTGGGAACGAAACTTCTAAAGGAATAACATTTTACAGAAAACCTTTTTGTAAACCCACGGGCTCCTCCAAAATACAAGCATGTCTTGTCATTAATCGGTGTCCAATCTCGTGGACATCCTGCCGTGACAGCAAGTATTAGAAGATTGACAATGACGGGCACCCTCATGGCTTGCCCGTTTCAGGGTGTGACTGTAACAATGTTCGTTTCCCTCCAAAAAGGCACCTCTTATCTTCACACCTATCATCCATTTATTACCGCCCATTTCGCGGCTTCTCTAGGCAGACTCCACGCTTCAAGCATTTTTATAACTCGACGCGGAAAAGACCATGGAGCATGGCTTTGCTGTGGTTGTTTGATCAGAAAATGCCCGGTTTAAAAGATGAACTAGAATATATAAAAGAATATAAGCCGCTAAATACAAATATTTTTTCAGGTCGGACACGCTATGAGTGAGAAAAGCAGGAGAAGTCGGGCACGCAAAAAACGGGGCGATTCGGTGACTTCTAATCCCGGATCTGCTTCCGGCCCACTTGAAGAGCTCCACGATGCGGAAGCGCCCGGCTCTGACACGGAGTCCGCAGGGCGACCCGAAGAGCATGAGGTGAGCCGAATTAGAAGCTTTGAAAGATTCGAAGGGCACGAGTCTTGCAATATTTACAATGCAAGAGCTCGTTGTTGATCTTGATTAAGGCACGCGATGTTTTGATGTTTTGTTTTGATGATGATGAGTCGCACCAAACGCGCTTAGATAAAATCATTCCTCACCCAAAATTCTCCCATCCCCGGTCTTCTCCCCTTGCTTACGACCTTCAGCTCCATTTTCAAAGCTTTTTTTCCAGGATTCTTCTGAAACGCCCGAGTACACACAACTGACCGCCGAAGAAATCGTGGAGCGAAGGGCAGACATCCTTTCGAGATCGATTTTGCACTTGAAAATATCGTTGGCTCGCAGGATGAAGTTGAAGGAAGAAAATGAGCGCATTTTGTCAGCAGCAACGGTATCGTTTTTAAAACCGCAACAACTTTTGCCATTTTTAGGGTACCTCACGGCCGGTGCATGAAGAACTTGACCTGGACTTGGCCTTCAGCTCGCTAGAAGAACGGTTCGGATTAGCAGAAAAAATCAGAAAAAATCTTAGCAGAAAAAATCGTTCCGTTTAGGCTTATCGGCGAAATAGACTGGGCCGGGATGTCGAGTGTGCTGGAGAGACGCAGAAAAGAATTGGAGGAGCTAACTCCTCGGGGGGCTGAAGCTGAAATGAGCGGTAAAGAACCTAGTAACTACAAAAGTAACAAATATAAAAATATAAAAATATAAAAACTACAAAAGATGGGTATTTAGTTGCTGAGGAGATATCCAATTCGGCATCCCCCCTCGGCGAGGCCGAAGATCAGCCATCGGTATGACGATTTGTGAATAAGCTAAGCTAAGGAAATCATGGATTTCAGACGAGTACAGGGATCTTCCATAGCGAGAGGAAGCCGCGTAACCAGAAGCTGATGAAGAAAGCCGGCACAAAGGTTAGAAAAGATGATTTGTTTCAATTTTTTTTAGAAAGACACCACCAGCGAAAGAGCAATTGGTACGCTCACTTTCCATCAGCAATCTTCAGCCCTGTACGCGCAAAAAGCCGCAATCCCTGCTAGGCGGAAGGTGGGCATGATTTTTGATAATCTGTTACCACGCGTCGCGGCTGTAATCGGCTGGCCTTCGGGCTACCTTCCATATTCTACACCACCACATCCCTTCTCTAACTTAATCAATATCCGTGCTGATGGCTTGAAATACCCTCCATAGCCGAAACCCCCTTAAAAAAACTACCAAAATACCTTCCTGATGGCTTCAGATACCCTCCTTAGCCGAAACCCCCTTAAAAAACTACCAAAATACCTTCCTGATGGCTTCAGATACCCTCCATAGCCGAAATCCACTTCAAAAACTACCAAAATACCTTCCTGATGGCTTCAGATACCCTCCTTAGCCGAAACCCCCTTAAAAAACTACCAAAATACCTTCCTGATGGCTTCAGATACCCTCCTTAGCCGAAACCCCCTTAAAAAACTACCAAAATACCTTCCTGATGGCTTCAGATACCCTCCTTAGCCGAAACCCCCTTAAAAAACTACCAAAATACCTTCCTGATGGCTTCAGATACCCTCCATAGCCGAAATCCACTTCAAAAACTACCAAAATACCTTCCTGATGGCTTCAGATACCCTCCTTAGCCGAAACCCCTTAAAAAACTACCAAAATACCTTCCTGATGGCTTCAGCTACCCTCCTTAGCCGAAACCCCTTAAAAAACTACCAAAATACCTTCCTGATGGCTTCAGATACCCTCCTTAGCCGAAACCCCCTTAAAAAACTACCAAAATACCTTCCTGATGGCTTCAGATACGCTCCATAGCCGAAATCCACTTCAAAAACTACTTAGATTCCATCCCAATACTTTAAATGATTTAAATAATAAATTAACATAATTAAAAAGTATTAGAAGTATTAGATTAACTTAAAAAGCTATTTGGGCGCGGGAAGGGGTCTGGGGAAGAGGGGCGAAGGGAAAGGGGGCGTGGCCTGCCGGGGATAGGGCCCCCACTCGTTTTATTAAGGCACCACTTTCAAAGTTAATTTTAATAATTTAAACGAAAACTTTTTCATAATGTTTTGATCATTTAAGGTTTCTGACCATGCTCTATCCGAATCCTAAGAGAGCTAAGCTCTGGCTCCTTTCCCCTTCGAGTTATAGTTGGCTTCAGACAGACTGACTGACAGACACCACAGCAAAATTATTATAGTTGATAGAAATTTAGACCGCATGGGATTTTCTATTGGAAGAAGTCGTCTATTTGAGCGAGGAGTTCCGAAGAGAGCGCAAATATGGAGCAAATATACGTCACAAGGTTTTTGACAATTGTTATGGTTTTAAAAAACGCATTTTAGACGGCTAAAGAGATCAAGCGCTGGTGGCAGTACCAGCAACAATATAAGGAAAAACAGCGGCAAGAGGGTATCAAACGAAAGAAGAAATATTGTGCCCAAGTCGCGAAGCTTGTCAAGGAATTCTGGTCGAATGTCGGCAAGGTGGTGCATGCAAAGGCGGTGGTTGGTGGTGATTTTGATACATAATTTAATAAAAAAGGATATTGGGTATAAAGGAGCGATTGGTATTACGATGATTCCAGCAAGACATAGCGGCAAGCAAGCGAGCCGTGATGCGTGAACATGTCAACAAAATGATGGAAGATGCAGAGAAGCTTGCTTCTGTCCTCGCCACAGCGGTCATTAAGCCACCAAGTAGGTTTTCTTACGTTTTATATTGTTTATGATATACTATCATTATACGTGTCATAAAGTAACTAATAATGTTTCAGACCGTGAATACAATGCCGAGAACTCAGTCGCTCAACGCCCTAAAGGCCGAAGAGGCGCCAAGGAACCCCCAGATGTATTAAATGAATCGAACGACATGGATGATATCATTCGATCGGTAAGAATAATTTAATTTTCAAAGAATTTATTATAGTTGCCCGTCGAATATCTGCAAAAAATCACCGGAATGGATATCGAAGAACTGGAAACAGCACGTGAGCCCACACCACCGCCTAAGGTTTGCTCAATTGTTTTAAACTGAGCTATTTAAACATTTAGGTAGAGGAATTGGAAGACGGTGACAACGTTGTGGGTGAGGGAGCAGTGGTTAGTGCTAAATCTACTAAATAAAAAATATTCTGTTTAGGAAGTACAAGCGCCCGAGATGCTGCGTGCGAAGCTGCGTGATTACCAGGTCGTCGGCCTGAATTGGCTGATCGCGCTGTATCGAGGCGGGATAAACGGGATTCTGGCTGATGAAATGGGCCTTGGCAAGACCTTGCAGGTAGGAAATTTCGATCCACAAAATTGTTTAAAAAAACAAAAAACAAAAACAAAAAAACACATTGTTTGCAGACGATTTCCGTGCTAACCCACCTGGCGTGCAGCGAGTACAAATGGGGCCCTCATCTAATCATCGTGCCAACTTCCGTGATCCTCAACTGGGAGATGGAATTTTTCAAATGGTGCCCAGGATTGAAGATTCTCAGCTACTACGGCAGTGTGAAGGAGAGGAAAGCGAAAAGAGCTGTACGTTTTAAGATAAATGTTTACGGGGATAAAACTGGAATTCTAATCATCAGAATCATGAAACTGGAATTTAGGGCTGGCAAAAGCCGGACACCTTCCACGTCTGTATCGTTTCCTACAACACCATCATGCAGGATCTACGTGTTTTCAAGCGAAAGGTGTGTTTATAAAGTAGCAATTGACAGGCGCGGAGGACAATAACTGTTTTTTTTTAGAAATGGCAATATATGGTCCTCGACGAAGCCCACAATATTAAAAACTTCAAAAGCATGAAATGGCAAGCGCTCCTGACAATGAATGCCGAGCATCGACTCCTCTTGACGGGTACGCCAGGAATAACATATTCAGAAGTTTATCTCTATTTAGGTACCCCGCTTCAGAACCACCTGATGGAATTGTGGTCATTGATGCATTTCCTCATGCCAGAAGTATTTGCCAGTCATGACGCATTCAAGGAGTGGTTCTCCAATCCGATGAATGATATGGTTGAAGGGAATATCGAATATAACGATGAGCTTGTCACCCGCTTGCATAAGGTATTTTTAATACACTTTTTAATTAAGCCTAATAGATCTTGCGACCATTCATCCTGAGGCGTTTGAAGTGCCAGGTCGAGAAGGAAATGCCAGGGAAGAGCGAGATCATTGTCAAATGCCCCCTGAGCCGGCGTCAACGTTTTCTCTACGATGATTTCATGGGACTCCGAAGGTAGATTTAGAACAGGTAGATAATCTATGTATTTTCAGCACCCGTGAGAGCTTGAAATCCGGCAAGATGGTTTCTGTCCTCAACGTCATCATGCAACTTCGAAAGTGCTGCAACCACCCGTCACTCTTTGAAGCTCGTGGAGTGGCATCCCCTTTTACCTTCAAGGCCAATCGGTCGGTTACCGATCTAATTCTATAATATATGGCCATTTTCCTTTAGTGTCTACATTCCCGGCATGTGCTTCGACATCGCGGAGCCGAAGACGTCCGCTGCAGAGCAGATCTTGAGAGATTATCCTACATACGGACACGTCAGCTACGTAGGTTCATATCAGTATTCAAAACAGGCTTCGATTTGGTTGGGAGAATTGGGAAAATTTCTCTGGAGGTGGTAGGCCGGCCTGGAGGTGGTCAAAAAAAGTCGCAAAAAAATTTTTCGCCGCTTCGCCGCGGGTATTCCAGCAACAATTCAAGACTGTGCAGTTAGTTCAACTTACAGTAACTGAACATGGCTAAGAAATAGCCCAAAAACGACTTTAGACCATATTTTTCGCAGAAGCACCAGAAGCGATCGACAATAACGACAATCGAATATTACCATGCGCGTTGAATTTTTGTAATTGTGAAATAAATATTGCGAATAAATGCTGAATTACTTGTTAATATTCGGTGAAACGGTCAAAGAAGACGGAATGGTGACGGAAAGCTGAGGGAGAAGAAGAAATTCCAAAAATTAATTCCTGCTAAATTCTCTACATTCTTACTCACCCACCAACTACTTCAACTTCACTTTCGAGAAATTCCAGACTCTATATTATGGAATGGATAATATGGAAGATGAACAACTCCTTCCTATTTCTCCAAACCTTTTTCTAAACTATTCATGTTTCTCGGATCAGCTGCATGGCGGACAACGCTTAAACTCTTCTCAGCCGCCTTTAAAGGGACACGGACACCGGACTTTTCCGACCGTAGTTTTCCGGAACCGGCCTCGACCGCCTTCTCACCTACACCAATCGACGCGTCTTGAGCTTGCGCATCCGCCTATACTCCTGAAAAGCCATGAAAAGTTTGTTAGACAACCCCCAACCTCCGATTTATGCGGATTTTAGGCCAAAAACGCAGTTTTCCCGCCACCGATTTCCGGAACCGGCTCGGATCCATTTCTAACCTACACCAGTCGATGCGTCTTGACCTTGCGCATTCAGTGATACCCATAAAAAGCCCTAGAAACTTTCTTAGACAACCTCCAACCCCCCGATTTGTCCAGGTTTCAGCCGCTCCCAGGTTCGATCCCATGCGTTTTTGACGGATAAATCGTAGCAGGAAGTAGATGACGCGAAGTCAAGCACACCATCGGATAGAGGAGACTCTCAGCTATCACCTGATATGCGGCACCTTTATGGGAGATGGTGGAGAAAGGAAGAAGGTTGGAATTAAGGAAACACCTAAAAGTGCCGATCCCAGGTTCGCTCCCAAGGTCAAGTTTTTTATCAACTATAATAAACGGGCTGTGGTGTACGTCCGTCCGTCATGTCCCGGATTCAACTCGAACGGGAAATGAGCTAGAGCTTAGCTCTCTTCGGATTCGGATAGAGCGCCCTGATAACTGATAAAAAAATTACAAAATGTTTTAGGTTAAATTATTAAAATTAACTTTGAAAGTTTTTTTACCTTACCAATTTTTTTCCTGGTGGGCCCGGTTGACCTAGTAATCAAATATAAAGTGTTTTCGAATTGTTTTTAGTAAGTTTTAACTATATTTAAAGCAGAATAACTTTCAGAAAAATTTAGAAAAATGTTTGAAAAAGTCGAAAATTTGGTCATTTTGGGTCTTCCCCCCCCCCGCGAATCCTAAAGTTTCTATTGGATTGTTCGACCTAATTGTTAATTTTTTTACATTTTTTTTGGTTAAAATGTGTGTAGTTTTTATGCACAGGAATAGTTAAAAACAATTTAAAAACGCATCCGCAATTTATAAAAAAATCTAGGCTTGTGCCGAAAAAATTCCCCCCCCCCCCCGGAATCCTAAAGAACCGGTTTCGGCTATGGGGGGTATCTGAAGCCATCGGGAAGATATTTAGGTAGTTTTTAAGGGGGTTCTGGCTATGGGGAAGTAACTAAAGCCATCCGGAAGGTACCGAAGTAGTTTTTTTAAGGAGTTTTTGGCTAGAGAAGGTTCTGAAGCGATCAGCGTGAGTATTGATTAAGGTAGAGATGTAATGTGGTGGCGTAGAACATGGAGGGTAGCCCGAAGGCCAGCCGATTACAGTCGCGAAGCGGCTGTAATCGGCTGGTTTCCCAATAAACTTTTTTCCCGCCGAACCGATGGGGCTAAAACTTCTACGGGGGATAAAGCTGTGATCTGTATCTACACAGGGAGGTGGTTTTCAAATCAGGAACTAGACAGAGGCCGGAGAACGGGGACGATCTAGCGTCGAGATTTTGGTCGGAAATTTCAGAAGTCCCGACGGGGCCCAAACAAAAAAAAGGGTTGGAGGTCAAACAAAGTTTCTAGAACGTTTCATGGGCATCAGCGGATGCGGAGGCGTCGATTGATGTGGGTTAGAAATTGATCCGAGTGATTTCGGGAAATTTCGATCCGGAAAACTGCGTTTTTGGCCTAAAATTAGCATAAATGGGGGGTTGGAGGTTGTCTAACAAACTTTTCATGGGTATAGGCGGATGCGCAAGCTCAAGACGCGTCGCTTGGTGTGGGTGAGAAGGCGGTCGAGGCCGGTTCCGGAAAACTACGGTCGGAAAAGTCCGGTGTCCGTGTCCCTTTAAAGGCGGCTGAGAAGAGTTTAAGCGTTGTCCGCCATGCAGCTGATCCGAGAAACATGAATAGTTTAGAAAAAGGTTTGGAGAAATAGGAAGGAGTTGTTCATCTTCCATATTATCATTCCATAATATAGAGTCTGGAATTTCTCGAAAGTGAAGTTGAAGTAGTTGGTGGGTGAGTAAGAATGTAGAGAATTTAGCAGGAATTAATTTTTGGAATTTCTTCTTCTCCCTCAGCTTTCCGTCACCATTCCGTCTTCTTTGACTGTTTCACCGAATATTAACAAGTAATTCAGCATTTATTCGCAATATTTATTTCACAATTACAAAAATTCAACGCGCAATAATATGTCCAAAACACACAAAAAATACAGAAATTTTCCCTAATCTACACATCGAATATGCCAAAAAGTTTTCGCCGGCTTCGCGGCCGGTCTGGAGGTGGTCCGCCCTTCTGGAGATGGTCTTGGGATTCTGCTCCCACCAAATCGAACCCTGATTCAAAATATTTCGTTTTAGATTAACCAGGTCTCAAAGCCAGTGGTCGTGGCAGATGCATCGAGGAGGAAATTGCCACGGATGAAGCCTTATCGGTTCGATAACCAGGCTGCTCATAAGGTATTGCAAATAAAATAGATATTTTTATGCTTTTTTAGGTGCAACCACAGATCCCGGCCCAGGGTGTGCTTTTTATGGGAAATGCGATGCAGCAAAAGCCGGAGGTGAACACGCGGAACGGATTATTGCTGGTACTTCCTGAAAAAAAAACGGGCTCTTAAATGAAAAAGCGGGGGAAATTTCATGTAACCATAATTTCAGCATCGGCCAAGAAGCGAACCTTCACCTCGTAGGGCCGCGGTTACGTGGTTTTTAAAGTGGCGAAAAGAAAGATGCGTGCACAGGATGGTAAGTAATTTTCCCTTGCACTTTAAAAGCATTTTTTCAGAAAGACGGGGAAGAATTGCTGGCACTAATGGAGAAGATGCGTAAACCAGCGAAAGTAATGACCAGCTTCACCTATCGACCCCCGATCGCATACAGCCTAGTGGCTGGCCTGAAGAAAAACATACGGTGCGATCATGCTTTAATTTATAACCTATTTTGTAGGTTCCCTCTTCTTGCCGAAAAAAGCGTAAAGCGTTCGGAGATCGAGAAGACGTTGCTGGAGCCGCTAAAGTACTTGTCAGAGTTAGTTTTGCTAATTTGAGAACAGATTGCCACTGGAATTTAATCTTTGAACACTAAACTTATTTAGCTACGCCGTTTACCTGCCCGCAGCCCAGTCGCTTCCACGGGTGGTCGACGTAGGAGAAGGTCGTGCAGAGTTCTTCAGGCACCAGGACCGCCAGATCGAGTGAGTTTTGCAAAATAAACTAATTTTTTGTATTCTAGGGCCATCCACAGTCAAATGTACAAAACTATCGACAAGCGTGCTGTAGTAGTGGCCAGCCGGCAAGAGCTCCAACTTCCTGACACCCGCTTGATCGAATATGATTGCGGTATGTACTAATTCAGTTTAGGTTACCAGCTTCTTCCAGGAAAATTGCAAGTGCTAAAGGATCTCCTGAAGCGCCTTTACGCGGAGAAGCATCGTGTCCTCATTTTCACTCAAATGGCCAGTAAGTTCTACCAATAAGTGCCCAACAACATCTTTTAGAAATGCTCGATATTCTCCAAGTATTCCTGTCCTTCCATGGCTACCATTACTTCCGGCTTGACGGATCGACGGGCATTGAGCAGCGACATGCTATGATGGAACATTTCAATACTGATCCGAAGATCTTCTGCTTCATTCTATCGACACGTGCTGGAGGCGTTGGCATCAATTTGACCGGAGCCGATACGGTGATCTTCTATGATTCGGATTGGAATCCCACGATGGATGCCCAAGCGCAAGACCGTTGTCATCGGGTTAGTTTCTAGCTGCTTCAAAATTCTTTAAAAATTACATACGAATCCCGTTTTAGATTGGCCAAACCCGACACGTGACCATCTACCGCATGATCTCCGATAGAACCATCGAAGAGAACATCCTCAAGAAGGCCATGCAAAAGCGCCGTCTTGGTGAAATGGCCATCGATGAAGGCGGCTTCACCCCCGATTTCTTCAAAGAGACCGACAATCTGCGCGATCTGTTTAAAGATCTGGCGGAAGGTGACCTCCCGACATCGATCGAAGTCCCGAAAGATCGTGCCGCTTTTGAGAAGGTTGGAATCCGTTTCTTATCCTTGAGATTTAATTTAATTTATCATGCGCGTGGAGCGCCGTTGGCAAGCAACGTGTAAGGATAGAATCAATCAGAATCACAGAATGGAGAAAGCGCACATGTTGAAAAATTGTAGGAATTGTAAAATGAAAAAATCACAGAAGGGGGTACAGATGGGTATGGGGAACAGGGAAACAGGTTTTGTATTTCAGGATATGATCGCCGTTGAAGATGCTCAGGACACCGAGAACTTGAAATCCGTACGTGATGAGGCTAAAGCGGAAAATGTAACGATCAGATTCATATTCCTCCATTCCTGCTTTTTTAGGCTGAATTCGGACTGACATCCGGCTCAGTCCGCGAGAATCGCCTTGATGAAATTTCACAAGACCAAGCCCTATTCCGCGAAGTGCTCGCTCGCATGACCCCCATTGAACGCTTCGCCTTGAAGGTGGTTGAGGAGGAGACCTATGATTTCTACATAAAGCAAAACGAACAGGCAGTGGTGGGTCGTTCTCGAAATTGCATCTATACAAATTTAGGAATTCGAGCGCAAAAAGGGCGAAGCAGTCAAGGCCAAACCGGGAGTGGGGAAACCCGCACCAAAGGTGCCTATGCCTGTGCCGGCGGGAAAAGATCGAGAACAGAGGAAGATCAAGTCCGCCAAGCGCTCGCCGATCAAGTCCCCTAAGAAACCACAGCCGACGCAACATAAGACGCCGACATCCACAAATAGGAGCCATCTTGGTCGAAACCCAAGGAAACGGCTTTGCGATGATGATTACATATATGAACCTGTAAAGCTGGCACGAAAAAAAAGCAAGGGCGACAGTAGTGGCGATGAAGCCGAATGGAAACCGCCTACCAAAGGCGCGATGGCGATTACGAGCAAAGCACGTGGCGAAAGGGCACCGCGCAAAAGATCTGCTAAGTTTGAAGTCGATACGTCCGATTTAGCCGATGATGCGAGCGAACGTACCGAAGGCTCGAATCGCCGGAAATCTGGCGGCGACGGAAGTTCTTGAATTTGTTTGCTTTTGTTAGCTTCACCCCTACCCCCAATTAACATTCGAATCTCATCATCTCACTTAAATTCGGGTTGATTCTAGAGTTTTACCATTTCGATTGTTTTGTTTTGTTCACATTTCCCAATGTGCCTCTCCCGGAAACTATTATCGCTACCCCCCCCCAGTTTGCTCATCCTAGTTGTTAATGTTTACAAATTTGTTGTTGATCATAATCCCGTTGTAAATTCTTTCGGGCACTTCTCACGTTTAAGTGGTGAAATAAATACGTTCAGCTGTTCTATGGCAAATGTGAAACCACATACAGCTTAATGCGAGCAGGCTTTTTGGGCACATTCATTAAGCTCTTTGACCCCGAGCCATCCGACGGCCACATTGCTGATAAGGGAGCAGCAAACATTCCCGAAAATTTGGGGGAATACGTTAAAGCTTGGGGTTGGCACGCTTCTTCGAGTTTGTAGTTGAATTATTATATACAAGGATGTATGCATATACTATTTTGGACATAATAGTTCATGAAATTAGATAGATCTTGCGTTTTTGTTTATCAGTTTGTCAAAGCGGAATGATTGATTTGAAACCTGCTACCACTTGCTTTCTTTTGCGGAGATCTGAAAATGAAAAATGGGGAAGTGCCGCGGTTTTGGCAAGTTTTTTTGAGCTAGAGTTTAGTTTTTCGGCTTTCTCTTTACTTGATCTTGCTAAATTAACCTTCATTTTCAGTTATGTTAACTAACTTCGTTTCTAAACTAATTATGAAACTAATTATCATAGAAATTCGTACCCTTTCTTGTGCCATCTCTTTGTTTTTGATCGAATTCGATGCAGTTTCATGGCGTATCAAATAAATTCCAGAATGCTCTGGGCCGTCCACTTATTTTGTATTTGGGCCGGCGTTTGTACGTTAGAAGCCCCGCTCGTTAACACAAAGTTTGGCCAGATCCGAGGGCTCGATTTTGAGCGCAGCGTAGGCGTTCAGAAGCATTTGATAGAGGCCGTCTTTAGGATGGCCAATGGTCAGAGTTGTTCCTCGGAATTCCGTTCGCAAAGCCGCCCGTTGGGGAGTTGAGGTTTGAGGTGCGTTTTGAGTTCAGGGCCCAGGAGATGAATTTTCTAGAAACCAGTTATGGTGGATAAATGGGAAAACGTGTTGGATGCAACAAAATATGGGCCTTCATGCCCGCCACACAACAAATCGGTGACATTTCCGCCCTCTAGTGAGGATTGCTTGCATCTTTCCATTATTCGGCCGAAAGATTTGGTATGTTTTGATATGCTTGGGAAACTGTACTTAACGTCAGCTTGGTTGGTGCTTTAACTTGGCGGTTTAAAACTTAGTTTTAAATGGTTTAGGATGAACAGCGAAAGCTTCCCGTGCTAGTCTGGGTCCATGGGGGCGGATATTCTGCTGGCTCTGCTGCCAATTACCCGTATCCGGTAGGTTTTATAGTTCATCATTTATTGTTATAAAGGTTGAAAAACTATACCAATTTAGTGCGGATTTAATTTTTTTAAAGGTGTCATCAATGGAATAGGTATGTGTATGATAGGCATAGCTATCGTATCGAAACGTTTGTTTTGTAGTCCATCAGCCTGATTTTAGTACCTTTAAAATTATCGAAATTCAGGGCCTGGCAAACATCTACAACGCTCAACGCGTGATCGTCGTCGAAATCCAGTACAGACTCGGATTCCTCGGCTTCTTCTCGGATGGCGACAATTTACCCGGAAATTTTGGTCTCTGGGACCAGGTAAGTGGAAATTTCTGAACACGGAGACGTTCCCTGGCAGCTTGCCGCCCTGAAATTCGTGCAAGAGGTTATCGAGGATTTTGGTGGAGACAAAGAGAAGGTAGTTTTGGAAGATTTTCTTTATTATAAGCTTATAGGTAACAATTTGGGGATTGTCAGCTGGTGGAGCATCTGTTTCTCAACTCGCTTTAAGTCCAGAAGCTGACGGCAAGTTATAATTTTGCCCCGTAAAGGTTGCACAAAAGCTATAATTTTCCAAAATGTTTCTTACATCGCCTTTAATTAAAGCATTTTATTCTTTTTAGGACTATTCCGAGGTCAGATCGCAATGTCTGGAGGCTCGTTGATGAACTGGGCGTTTGGGGAGAATGTGCTCAATCATTCGAGGGCCTTGGCCAAAGAATTGGGGTAAGAATTTAGAAAAGTTCTGAAAAAAATGGTAAAAAATACGGCAAGATATTTGTAAATATACTTTTACCAAAAAGTTTGAGAGGATTTCAAGCATATTTTAAAACTTAAATTAACCTTTTTATAATGTCAGCTGCCCCTTCAACAGCGGCCTGAAACCTTGCCTAAAAGCTCTGCCACTAGAGAAATTCTACGAGGCCGTCGAACCCTTGGTAAACTCTAGAATAAATTTTATAATTTTTTCACTTCAGGGCAGCACACAGTATAGTTTGGATCTGTTAAAATGGCACCCGAGAATTGATGGGGATTTGTATCCGGAGAGCGCTGAAAAATTGATTGAGGTACATTTTTGGGAATTCCCTCGTTTTTGAGCACATATAACTCCATAATTTTTTATAGAAAATGCCAAAACGACCCCAAATCATGGGCGTGGCCTTGAAGGAAAGCTTGTTCTTTGGTAAGTCACCATCATTAGTATTGAAACATTTTTAGTCGTTCTCAACCTTGCCAAATCTATTCATAAATTGGAGGTCGATCCGCGGGAATTTAAGAATTTCGATAGAGCTGAATTGGAGCGGAGGATAAAAGTAGTTTTTTAGAGAAAACACAAGCAAACTTTCCAGGATCTCGTCGCAAATTCTGAATATTATCACGATCAAAAGGACGCCGTTTTCGAGAAGGTCTTTGCAGAATATACACGAGGGGAAGAGCATAAGCAGCCTGGATTTTATTTGGAGATGTATTCAAAAGTAGGTTGCTATCTAAGAAAATCTATATTCTTAATAAAGTTGCTCTCGGATCTGAATTTTAATGTGGGTCTCGTGCGTGAAGCGCAGCTACGCGCGGAAAATGATCTTCCCACTTTTGTCTATTTGACGGAGCATTTCAACAAGGCCATTTATCCGGAAGGCTATGAAGTGACAGGTTTGTGGTAAAAAACATGAAAATGGAGCTCTACAGGAGCCACACATGTCTGCGAGTTGCCCTACGTCTTCGAGCTGTTCCCGTTGGGGAAGTATGCAATTCAAGGTAATCTACTAAGAAACCTAGATATATTACGATCCATTAAATTTCAGGAAATCCTGTTGAAGAAAAAGTCAACCAATTCTTCCAACAGTCGTTTATAAATTTTGTGAAAACCGGGTTGGTTTTATTAAAAGGATCATGGTTCTGCTGCTCGGAATTCCAAACTGCCCATCTATTTTGTGGCATGTAGATAAGTGATAGTTTCTCTAAATCCGTATTAACGAATTTTTGGCGTGTCGCGTAACTGTCTAGACCTAGTCGATGGAGAAGAGTTGATTTCCGTGCCTACTGAGGCCTATAATATCCACTTTGCATTGCAAATTGTTCAGACAACCAGTGAACAAAATCTCTCCCTGGCCTTCAGTCACCACTGAAAATGTGGCCGACCTGCCGTACGTGCATATCACCGACAGTCCGCGACTGCAACGAGGCGGATATTTCGCGCGGGAGACCGAATTCTGGAATCGAATCGCGCGCGACTATCACTTTGACGCGGTCACGCTGACGAAAACGGAGAAAAACGGCAAATCCGAGCTTTAGGATTTATCTATGTTCCAATTGTAATTACTGTATTTTAAATTTTGGTATAGCCTTAAAGGTGTGTTGCTCACTTGCTGAATATTTTTCACTTATTGCAAAAACAGGGTAATGGAACTATTATACAGATAAATATATTTTTCATTGCTGTTTGGAGTTTTATAAAAGTGCATTTAACGTTGTAATCCTTTCAAACCATTTTTATTCTTTCCCGAAAATTCTATATGGTGATCCATATGTGTCATGAGGGGGGAGTCTGCATTTCAGAAGAATTATATAATAATATCTACGAAATTGAGGAGTGGGGAAAAGAGGAATCGGGTGTGGAGGGGATAGAAGATCCCGGTGGGAATCTCGACGGGGTATTTCATGAGGGCAAAGAAATGATATATGAAATGTCGAAGTTTTAATAGTTTCATTTTGTTGCCCTCCAGATTCTGCGCAAGAAAATCACTGCGTAAAGCTCAACGTGCGGAGGGGGGAAACTGCGTTTTTGGGTTTTTTTTTGTTTGAGAATAATTGATTGTAGAAATCGCACACAAATGACATAAAAACTGCAAAATGGTTATCACACGCAAATGCTATCGGGGTTAATGGGTGCAAAATGTACTAGAATGTTCAGAAAAATCAAGGAGTAATAGGGTAACCTTAAAACGGAGGAAAAGCTGCAAAATATCTGCGTCTTAAGAATATGAATGCTGCGGGGTGGGGATGAGGTTGCGCGGTACGGCTGAGAAATTATTTTAGAGAGTGTATTTTGGAGCATAAATTACGAGCAGGGATGAAAAAATTAAAAGTAAAGAGGATTGGATGTAAATCTCTACAATTTGGTTGGCAAATAGTCAAGGGATGGGCTGGGATTTTTTTGGGAGATTTAAATTGGTAAATGATGTTAAAAGCCATGAAAAACGTTCATATTTTTGAAGTTTCTGAAAATTCTAGTCTGTATTTACATTTAAGTCATTTAAAATATAAAACGCTCTTTTCCATCTAGCAAATCACGCCCAGATTCAAATCCCAAAAACCGTCAGCCCTTTTAAAAAACAAATTGGATTCACAAATTCATTGATAAAATTTTGTCACTAGAAGCCGACCGGAAAATAGGGGTTGTCGCAAAGGTTAAGCCAGATTTATGGCATCTTTGCCTGGTTGGCGAACATCCACTGCTCGGCGTAGCCGTTCGTCCCGTTCTGAGCGTAGAGATAGTCTATCGGCGAATAGGTGGTGGCCGTTGTTGGCGGGTAGGCGTAGGCGCCGTACGTTGACAAGGCGGCCGCACTGAAAATGGGGTAATAATGTTTGAATTGAAGGTATATACTACGAATTAATGCTCTTTCCATATTTCCCATAAAATACTAGATAGTAATCAGATCCAACTACTCACCTATATCCATTAGTAGGTGCAGCAAGGTACGTCTGAGCATGTAGAGCCGCCGAAGTCGAAACAATCGGCTTAGCGTCCGTTCCCTCAGTATCGGTTGGAGATGTCGTGGAATGATCAGACAGTGATGGCTCAACGTCTTCCGTTTTGACTTGGAACTGAAAGAATTTTAGATTTATTCGTCACGTAGAAAAAAGCATAATTTGAATCTGCTATTAAGCTCACCTCAACGGGTTCGGTACTGGCCGAGGTGCTGCCACCCTCGCTATTGCTTCCGGTGGATGGAGCCGTGCCGGTGGAGCCGTTCGTGACCTGGGCGGCGGCTTGTTGGGCTTGGGCTTGGGCTTTCTTCTGTTGGCGGGCCTTGGCGCGACGGTTTTTGAACCACACCTGCAATTTTGGTGGTTGTTTGGGTGATGGATGAAAGCGGAAACTATCTGTTTCGGTTTCATTATTTTGACTATGGGGCTCCAAAGAAGCTCGGACTCCGATCGCGCTCAAAATTGGCTCACATCTGAGTCGAACGCTCAAGCTAGGCGAAATCCAAATTTCAGCCCCCGCTTCCCATTCCGAACCAAAAATTTCCCCGCTTTCACCCCCTTCGATTTTCGGTGCTAGTGGGTGGTCGGTTGGGCAGCAGTGTCGGCCTTTTTTGTGTGCGTGCCCCTTTTCCTCCTCCGATTCTCCCCTCCACTTCGACTGCGCAAATTTTCGGATCGATATCGTATCGGGGAGGGACCGACCGAGGGGAGTGGACTGGGGAAGGCTTGTTTGATATGGTGGGTGGACGGGGTACTGTAGAGGGGGCGAGGGGGAGAGAAGGAGAAAGAAAGACACGCTCCATTGCACTCCTTTTAACAGAGAAGAAGGAGAAGGAGAAGAAGAAGAAGAGGTTGCAGTCCATACAGCTTCGGTCAATGGATCAACATCGGTGATATTTGGGTGGAGGAGGGATGGGTATGGATGCTACTGTCTGGGATTGAAAGGGAAAATGCAGTTAATTTTTGTTTTCTCGCTTTGTGAAGCTTTGAATATATTCTGGTAGCTTGTATCGCAGGAAATACATTATCCCGAAATTAATACTGATATAGAGATTCCAATATGCCCGAATTTGACTTTCAATTCACCAAATCCGGAGGAAAAAATTAATCTATCGAAAGCTCGAAGAAACTACCAAAATATAATAAAAAGTATACGTATTTAACTTGAGCCTGTTGAAATTTCGGTGCAATGGATTTCCTCATAGTGCATTTTAAGTAGAACCATATGATACAGCACTATTAAGGTACAGCTTCACGCTACAATGCCTTGAATCTGGATTATTTTACCCTTTATAACAAACCAAAACTAAATTAAATTGAACTGTACCTGAACGCGACTCTCCGGCAGCTGAATCTTCACCGCCATATCCTCCCTCATAAAGATATCCGGATAGCGCGTTTTCGCAAAATAGCTCTCCAATATCTCGAGCTGACTCCGCGTGAACGTCGTCCGCTCACGGCGCTGCTTTCTGAAGCTGAAACAAAGATTGTAAAGATTATAGAAATATACAAAACCATAAGATAGAATCAATAAAATTTATTAGTATTTACCTTGGCGGAGCTTGGGCACCCCAGGCTAGAGTTGCTCCTTGACACTCGGCCAAGCCTTGGCTCAAATATCCCATTCCGAATGGGTGGGATGGGACGGTGGGAAGGCCTAGAAATTAAAGAATAAGTCTAAGTAGTTAAAACGATAGCCACTATGTTTTTAAACATACCTCCAAGCGGAGCCGGCGCATATCCGCTTCTAGAAAAATACGAAGCCATATTCGACATATTCATATTTGTCATATTGGCCGCCGCCGAGGAAACCGAGGGAATGTAGCTCATTGCCCTAGAAATCCACAAATGTAAATTGTCAAGAAGATAGCATGAATAAATCATGAAACAGTTAGATAAATTGAAAGCACATCACAAGAATCTGGGCGGCCACAGCTGACTTGAGATCAGCCAGGCTTCTAATCGGCCGTGTTACAAGCTGCGCTAAGCCGGCTTATCTTCGCCTTCAAGCCGGATTTTAGAGGAGGGCTTATATTCGAGGGGACTGATATGGAAAGTTGGTTTTGGGAAACCGATCAGGGAATATGGAATGAGAAAGAATTGGGATTTGGAATTGTTGAGCTCTGAGAGCCGAAGCTATCGGGTCAAAATCAAGCAACGTGCAGACAGTAGCTTAGCGGAATATAAGAATTACCAAAATGTGTGAACGTATTCTAACGTACGTATTTATTACCGACACGATTCCTTTAAAATGAATAGAGAAAAAACAGATGGAGATTTGCATATGGTAAAAGAATGGAATACAAGTATAAAAAGTGCTGTATGCATCGTGTAGAGAAACAAGGTAATAGAAACCATAATCATTTTGTGTATCTAGGTGTGCATACGGTATTTAAATAAAATACAAGAAACTAGAAGCCCTAAGTCTACACATACTTCAAATCATAGTGCTAATCAACTTCAGAAGCCGTTTAAAAATTTCCAGAACAACATGATAGCTTTCTCGATACCTAGCTCAGAATAATACACTAATAGTCTTAAACATCCCTTTAACAAATATCAGAATGCCTTGGCTAGAAGGCCAACCGATCAGAAAGGGTTGAAACAAATCGATAGTACTTACCACGAAAAAACAGGCTCAAGGGTTGAGCTTGGGCTTAGCCGCCATCGAGTCGCTAATATTTTGTCAACAGATACTATTAGCCAGAGGGGGGAGAAGGATAATCGGGAAGAGAGGGGGGAAGGGAGGGGAGGTTGAAATCGGATTGGCACGGGAGGGGGGAGAGAGGGGGGTTAGTGAGGTGGGCAGGAGCCGCGAAGCTGATCCGTCATAAGCAAGTCTAACCTGAGCTTGGCGGGGGGGTTGAGCTTGGGCTCAGTCTTCGGGGCTCTAGGGGGGTTGACCCGGGGATTATGGATGATCCTCCCCTTCTATGGAGAGAGAGGAGGGGGGGTCTTGCAAAGACTGTGTTGGGTGGAGTGTATCGAGGAATGGGGCGGAGGATAGAAGGGGAGGCTGATGGTGGGACCAGCCACGCCCAGGGGAACCAATCAGAAGCTGAAGGGGCGGGGCTTGGCGTTGCGGTAGGTACGGTAGTAGGGGAAGGAGGGCGATGGGAATAGAAACAAGAGACCGGTCCTCCCTTTTCTTCGTCTTCTTCTTCTTCTTCCTTCATCACCACCCCACCAACCACATCGACCACTGGAATGTCCGCTCTTTGTTTTCCGGGGAAGCGGAGGAGGGGGCCACTAGGGAAACTGGCCACTGCACGCGCTGCGCGAAAATTTGGACCGGAGGATGGGGGAATCAGAAGAGCTGTTGGGAGACTGTAGCAGAGAAAAAGAAAAACATTAAATTTGACTGACATGCTCGATTAAATAAGTAAGAAAAGTTAGGTAATTTTCTAAGCTAGAGCAAGAGAGACACATATTATCCTGTGATATGTCACTGTCCTTGTAAAAAGAGACTTAAATAAATCGGAATTGAATGGATAAAATCAGGCTTGTAGCTGAAAAAGGAGGAAAGTGAGGGAGAGAGAGAGATACAGAGCAGAGAGTACCCGGAGTTACCTCGACTGAAATCGCCTGGCCTAGTCCCTTTAAGACAAGCAGTTTTTTTAGAAAAACTAGTTAAGATAAATATGATATCCTAATATTTCGTGTAGCTTCAAATCATCAAAAAAAAACAGAGGCGATTTGATGCTTGTTCGGCACTTAAAATCCGTAATTAGCAATATTTTGGTTAAAATTGAATCGTTTATGTTTTAGAATCCAATAAATATTTGAAAACGCCATCATCAGATGGTTCAAAAACTCCCCAAAAAATCCGATCCACTCCGTTTCAACTACTCGCAAACAGGGTTGATACGTTTGGCAAACATTCGCCCAGGTCCCATCTGGAATAAGATCCAAATTCTGGTCGCTAATGTCCAGACTTAATTCTTTAGACCAAAAGTTACAACAAAATCAAAATATCAGTTCCCACCTGCAACCTGGGTTCTAGATGACTAGATCAAGATGACTGACCCTCCTTTAGACACCGATCTGTCAGCACGCGATCCAAATATCGACAAATCTGAGCGGGAAGTCTCAAATCTTTAGCGGTGGGGGGATTGAGTGGGACTCAAGGAATGACAGGCTACAGGGTCTCTGCTTTTCCCTCCCGGCCACACCTACCAATCACCCTAATGGGCCCCTAAGATGGGTCTCGTGCTGGGACACCACTACCGTAATCCCGGGATATTTGGGTGGATTTGGTGAGAAATGTTGAGCCGGGGGGGATTGTGACGGTGGACAAGGATGAGCCCCATCTTGGGCTCCTCTACCTGCCCATCAACAGATTGGGATGGCTGGGGGATGGTGGCGAAAAAGGGATTTACATGGATTGTAGCTGTACGCGTCGATATGGATTTGGTGACAGACAAGGCTGGGCCGCAAAAATATCCCTGGATACTTAGAATACTTAAGGTGGGATTGGGTGAGAAATTTTAAGGACTTAACGACGGCTGAGAGCGCTGAAGCACGCTGACATCTAATGGTCGGGAATTTGGCGGTTTTGAGAGCTCTTTTATAGTCATAACAAGATGGAGGTATGGAGATAAGTTCAGTTGATGACTTATAAAATTCGGTATTATTATATTCTATAAAAAAATTAGCTAAAATTCTGGAAATTTTGATTTGTGCCAATACGTCAGTAGCATTTTCGAAAAACTTTAATTTAAATCTATGGCTACTTAGGATAATTACTTAGCCTAAAATTTAGTCCACTTTGAAAAATTTGAGTTTTAAATTAAGTCCATGCAGATTCTTCATAACCTGTTTTTAACTGTTTTTAGCTTTTATGAATCGACTTCTTAAGGCTATTAAGGTAAAAATTGGCTAAAAACAATTCATATTGAATTTTCTACCTAATTTTTCTCAAGTGCAAATGTCTATTTAAAATCCAACCTATCCGGCTGACCGTCTCCACCTCCTCCGGCCGCCCAGTTATACAACCAAATCCGGGGCAATTGGCCCACAAATGGGGCCCTAGGCGTTGCGTGGCCGGGGGTGGGCATAAGAATGTCCGGCTGTAATGCCCACCCCGGTCAGTCGATTATCCGCAGATGGATTAGCCTTTTTATCCGATCGGGCTGATCCTCGAGGAGGTAAGGTTTTTTTGAGCTGCTTCTATTTATGTGCAGACGACCCAACTTTGATCCTGACTTCAAATACACTTTAAAAGAACGGAAAAAGCCGAGATATAGATTTTTTCGGGTGCGGATTTCGTACGCGCTCCATTTTTCCATTGCGTAATTGTTGAAAACCATGGTTTAAAGGAGCGAGCAAGGCATAGCTATAGGTTTTATTGCCTCTGAATTTCGTGAACCCCAGTCACATTTCCATAGGGTAATGGAATTTACCCTTTTCCTCGTAACTGGTGCGTCGCGGCAAGCCATCTCTCCAAATCCATAGGAATCCACAACCTTCCCAGTCCCTTTAACCGTCCCCCTCCCTCAACCAATCGACCCCCATTCCATCAACTAACCGCTCCCTAGAAGGAGGCGTTAATGGCCTTCCCCCCACCCCTCTCTCCCTTTGAAATATGCATTGAGTTGGCTTTTTGAGGGGCCCCTTCCGGACCCTCCCTGGCAGCCGCGAAATGAATTTGCATAATGTTTGGGGTGGGCCCTAAGGCTGGCCCGGTGGCCCATTCCCACGCCTTCAGGAGGGGGAGAAGGAGGGGAGAAGAGTCAGCTGCTTCTACATCTAGCTTTTAGGGTAATTGGAGAGGTGAATGTTGGGGTAGAGGTTCATGATTTTAAAGTGATATTGAAGGGTAGATATTGCCAGCTGACTTGGATGACTGGATGCGGGAAGATGACCCGATCCCTATCCTTTAAGGTATCAAATATTTGACTCCGATTTGTCAGCTGGTTGATAGCCTTCCCCGAGGAGTATTTGGATATATAGAGTCGGTATCGAATAAAGACAAAAGAGATGTGTGGGGGGATGGTGTGTTGGCACACTGCACATCAAAGGATTGACACTATGAGGAGACCCAAAAAAGGCCCCCTCACCACCCGGATTTGGCAGGGGATTGACCTGTCACGGAGGGGCGGCTAGTCGGTGCGTTACCGCCTTTATAGAGCTATAGACAGACAGAGAGACCCCTAATATACAACCCACTTCAACGCTCGAGGGCTTTTGGTGGGGTGGCATGCCGACACTGTCAGTGGTAGTGCGCCGGAAAATTTGGGGGGGGGAATGCCGACAAGATACCGACAAGCCAAAATACGCTGGGAAAAATCCCTACAAAACTGGATCTCTCTAAAAACTAGGTTAACTGGAATACAGACACTTATAACCTCGTGATTGTAAAATACCGACAGGACTTTATCCTCACGCAAAAACTTAATCAATCAACTACCGACACGGCTTATTACGAGCTCTAACACTGGGTAAATTGGGGGTATCGACAGCAAAAATCTCGAGTATCCAAAATATCGAGGTTGCATAATAACCGCGCAAACCCCGATAAACAAAAATGCCGACAGCTCCCGTGGCACGGTCAGCAAGAAAATACCGACATAAACAGATCACGAAGTTTTTTGAATGTCCTAGGCATTTTTAGCCAGACTACGCTCCTAACCGCCTCACGTATCATTAATGCGCCAACAAAATGCTAAAAGTCTCGAAAACTAGCAAAAAATGCTATTCCACGGGATCGATGCGGCTTATTATAAAGGATGATCGGGGGTATTACTGACTCACCGTAGTGAAAAATGAAAATCGGTGGACAACAGTGCGCGAGCAGGGTCGTCAACCATACCAAACCAGTTTAGAGTTAC